AAAAAAAAAAAAAACTGGGCCTCCTACATACACTTGTATGGAAGGAACAAAAAGTATGGGAAAAGGGAGCAACAAGAAAGGGTCCTCAGTCCCCAATCCTGAGAACACTGATCCAGGAAAGGTAAATGCAAAAGAGAATGAAGACAGAAAACATGCAATATCAGACATAGCGCCTATAGACATAAAGTGGTATCTCTGGAGCCTCATAGACGAGTTCAAAAATGAAGTATTTAATGAAATAAAGCAAGAAATAAATAGAATAGTTAGAGAAATGCTAAGCACCACCCAAGAAAAAACAGATGGTGGAATGGAAGAACAGAAAAAGAGGGGAGAATTGTTTGATGGAGAAAATAGAGAAAACATAGAATACGTGAAGCAGGTTCAAAGAGATTACCAGGAAACTAAAAACTCTATTGGAAGCTGGCATAACAGCTTGAAAGAAACTAAGGATAGATTATCAGAACTGGAGGACAGATTTGTAAGGTGGGAGCATGAAATGAAAAACTTCTTAAAAATAACAAGAAAACAAACAGCAATAATACAAAGACTAGAAGATGATAAGAGGATCTATAACAAGAATTAAGAACATAAAAGAAGAAGTAGGGACTCAAATAAATGAACTACAAAAGCAATTCACAGAAATAATCCAGGAGAATTTCCCTAATTTAGCAAAAGGTAAAGATACTCAGATGTATGAGGCATACAGGTCCCCAGCCACCTACAACCCAAACAGAGCTACATCCAGGCATATAATAATCAAAATTCCAGAAATCCAATATAAGAACAGAATATTAAAAGCCGTCAAAGACAAGAAACAGATCACTTACAAGTGAACACCCATCAGAATTATAGCAGACTTCTCAGCACAAACCATCAAATCACGAAGAGCGTAGGGGGAAATAAATCAAGCTTTGAAAGATAATAACCTCCAGCCAAGATTGATATATCCTGCACAACTGTCCCTAGAAATTGATGGAAAAACAGGGTGTTTCCAGGATAAAGAGGAACTAGGGGAATTTGCAACCACCAATTCAACTCTACAGAGATTACTGCAGGATATTCTAAAAATGAAAAATACCAAGATTGCAGAAACAGTGGCAGAGCAGCCACTATGAATGGAGCAGAAAGTGAAATGAAGAGGACAAACTGACAAATAATGACAGAAAAAGAGCTCAACAGAAATGAGGCAGAGAAGGTTGGATGGTAGGAACAGCCATTTTGGAGAAAACAAGATATCATAATAGGTAGTGCTGATTTAATATCCTCTTGTTTTGAAGTCCCATCAAGCTTTTGTTCTTCTGTCTCCATCAGTTTTAAGGTGTTATATCTTATTGTATTTTATTATATGTGATAATATAAACAAAAACTTTTATAGACAAGGAGATTATACAGAAACCATTGTTCATTTTCTGTTAGTTGATTTATTTAGAATTTATTTATTTAGAATTTATTTAGAATTTACCCTGTAATATTGTCATTCTCTTTAACGGTTTTACATTGTCTTGATATGTTTGATGCTACAGTATGCGAAGTTATACCCAAAGATTTTAAGGGAAGAGACACTATGGTAACTACTATTATGTCGAGATTATCTTGTGGTGAAACACTATTTTGCTTAAATGGCTATGTTTTGACCTGCACTATTTTGTTGTTATGCTCTCTTTTTTTAATCTCAATCTCCTTTTTTTAATCTACTTTTTCATTTTTTATCCTTTTAATTAAGGGAAAAATAAATAAAAAATAGCAGGATATATTATAGTAACCCACTTTGATTTCCTATTAACTTGATTTGAAATTCTGTGTTGCTCTCACCATCTTGTTTTGACTGATTTTCCTCTATTCTGTTACGCTTGATAGTACCAAGTTTGAAAGTATAGGCAACAACTATGAAGGCAATAAGATTCATTGTGACGCCCTTTCTGGTTGACTATTATCTTCTTTTTAATAGTCTTCTCTAATGTCTCCAATGTTTTGGTTTTATTGGTCTTATTCTTTACTGTTTTGTTCAATTTTATTATAACTGATGATATAGGCAATTGTTTTTAAGATAACAAGAGGCATTATGGTAACCATTGTTGATCACCTTGTATTTTGTTTTTACATTATCTATTATGTCCATTCTTTTGATTTGACTGACTCTGTCCTGGTATGTCACATTTGGTTTTACTTTCTTCAAAAAAAAAAAAGTAGTAAGAACTATGGGAGTAATAAAACCCAAAATGTGTAATTGTCATTGTACAAAAGAAAGGAAAAGAAAGTTCTCTAAAAGATATAACTGCATATATATTTAAGTGTATAAGATAGATAACTATATTACTGAGTTTTGTTGGATCATTGAACAAAACTGTTTGCAGTCTCACTGTTTGAAAGTCCCCTCTATATGCTTTAATTTTGTAACTTCAACAACTATTTCTAAGATGACAATATGTAATTAACTAGTGATTTCCTACTGTGTATTTTTTCTGAAATTCTGTATAACTTGTACCCTTTTTCTGTTTTTTTTTCTTTTTTCTCCTTAAATAAAATTAAAAAAAAAAGTTAGGAAACTACAGTAGTTCAGTATAACTTTTGTTAAAATTTTTTTATATGAATACCATGCATTCTTGACTCAAATTGAGAGATAAAGTAAGAAAATATTTTTAAAATAGTGTTTTTATCTTTTGGAAACTCTGTGTGTGTGTGTGTGTGTGTGTGTGTGTGTGTGTGTGTGTCTCTGTGTGTGTGTCTGTGTGTGTGTTGCGCGTGCACAGTGGGGATTGAACACAGGGCCTTCACACTGAGCTATACTCCCCAACCCTCACCTTTTTATTTTTTACTTGGATAAAGAATCTTGCTAAGTTGCTAAGATGCCCAGGCTGGGCTCAAACTTGTGATCCTTCTGCTTCAGTGTCCCAAGTATTGAGATTACAGGGTGTATACAAATATGCCAGCTTGTAAACCAGTTACTTTTTTGTCTTTTTGAGACAGGGTTTCACCATACAATTCAGACTGGACTTGAGCTCACTTTGTAGCCTAGGCTGGCCTCAAACTCACAATAATCCTCCTGCCTCAGCCTCCCAAGTGCTGGGATTACAGGCGTGTGTCACTATGCTTGGTTTGTAAACCATTCTTGAGAGCATAAGACATAATTCATTATGCTACTCAGTAATTTATATATAACACTTTTCTTGAAGATTCTCTCTGAATTTAGTACTAATAGAAAGCTCCTCTATCTTAAAGAGCTGTTAAATTTTCTTTTACTGGAGAATGAAACAATATAATCTAATTATTTAACCTAATACATTACACTCATTCTAATCATATAACCAGAAATTCAGAGTTTCACTTAATATGAAGAGGATGCAAGTAGCTTTATATTTTCTGTTCCCTCTATTTTAAATTTCTTTTTTCTTTCAGCTCCTGAGTATCATGTAGTATTTAGGTTTAATTTTAAAATTATACATATTGTTTTTAGAAAAAAGATAATTAAAAGTTAAAATGTAAAAGAAAGTGAAAGATAATATACAAAAAGTGATAGAAAAAGACATAGTCTGTTTATTATGTTCTTGATAACTCTCATGGGTATAGTCACAAATAGACTCAAATCTGGCTTGCCCACATGCTGGCAGTTGTAATATCATACTAATAATATTTACCATATGATGTTGCTTTGAGGGGTAAATGTGATAATACATACAGAGTGCCCCCTATACTTGGCACATAATAGAGGCTTAGCTGTTGTTTTATTCTGGCATCCTTTTCTCAAAAAAAATTATGCCTTCATGATAGAATTTGTTAAAAAGATAGATAGTAGGCAGTAGGAAGGTGAATCTTTCTCAAAGGGGACAGGAATCAAGAGATGGATGGAGTGAGGAGGGAGGTAAGGGAAAAGGGATTTTAAAAAGTTATTAGAATAAATGATGCACATGTACCAATCCCTTATAACAAAGGTAAGCATTATGTATTACAAGCATGTACTAATTTTTTAAAAAGGTACCAGTAGACTTTTGGTCATACTGTGTCTTGAGCTTGCTTCAGCTACACTGGTGCTTGCCATGTTATTTAATTTTTCCCAGTGTGTAGCACATTTATTAGCATGTGGTTTACATTCAGTGTTCATGTTGGTAAATGAATGAATGGCAAATGAATGAGTGCATGAATGGCGCATCCATGAGGGTCTCCTTGTCTGTCCCTCATCCTCCGGTTCAACCCCTGTCAGGTTTCAGTAACAGTTCAACCCTTGTCAGTCCTTCAAGTCCCCTCAAATACCACCTGAAGTATCTGATATTTGTAACATCCACAGATTGATGACCTGCCTAATACTCGGGTGTTTTTCACACTACCTTTAGCACTGGCCTTCCTTTAATTGTGCATCTTAGTTTATAAAATGAACATTTGTTCTACCTACTCTACCATAGATCTTCCATTTTGCATCTCCAGCTTGGGTACACCATGTACATTTTGACTTAAAATTCCGTTACCCATATCATACACTGCCTTATTTTCCAGTTGTCTTGTGTGTTCACAACACATATTCTAGCTTTTATCACAGAACTATATGGGAGGCAGAAAGAATGTCTTCCCTTTCCTTCTTATCTCTCATGATACCCATATATAGTGTTGAGCTTATAACAATCCCCAGAGATGTGTTCATTATTTCTTCTGCTGCTTCTCCTTCCTTCTTGAGTCCATGTTCAGTAAGGTGAATTGAAATCTTACTGATTGGTACAGTAGGCCTATCAAGAATTCTTTATTATGAACATTTATGAAGTTTCTGTTTCTGTGCAAAGCACTCTGGATAGATTGCCTCATTTAGTTCTCATACACCTGTGGGGTAGCTCCCAACATTCCAGTTTTACTAATGGAAAACAAAGACATTGATAAAGTATCTTTCCTCAAGTCCCATAGCAAATGCATTTTAATTCAGTTATGTATGATTCCAAAACTGTTGCCCTCTCCACTGGAGAATAAGATCTATGTATTTTAACTGTGGTTTTTTAAAAAAATTTTTTTCTTGAAAGGGGCTTTGTATCCAGATGGAACATCTGGGAGAAATAAGGACGATGACATGGTTCCTCCTGGCAAAAACTACACCTATGTCTGGCCAGTGCAAGAAGAATACGCGCCTGCTCCTGCAGATGCCAACTGCCTGACTTGGGTGTACCATTCACACATTGATGCCCCCAAGGACATCTGCTCTGGGCTGATTGGCCCCCTGCTGGTGTGTAAGAAAGGTAAGGAGCCTCCCACCAGAAATCAGTTCCCAAGAAACCAGTTTTTGTTGGAAATGTGAAAAAGATTCAGGTCTTGTCGCACTGACTTCCGTTGCTTTGCACCAAATATACTGCTTCTTCTAAACTTTTAAATTCTGGGCAATTCTTCTAACACATTTTTCTCTCAATGCTGGGACAAAATACCTGACATTCAAAATTAAGGAAAGAAAGTTTTATTTAGCTCACAGTTTGTGGAGGTTTCAGTCCATAATCAGCTGGCTCCTAGGCAGGGTGGTCTGACAGAGGGGCAACAGTTCAAGGTGACAAAAGGCCACAAAAGCTGCAAAAGCAAAACGGGAATGGGGGGCAGAGCAAGCCTCTTTTCCTTCCTTATACTGTATGCAGGCTACCCACTCACACCCTCAGAACCCTCCTCTTGCAGTGGCTTGTTTACAAAGTGAGTACTCTGGCCTTCTGCTGAGTCACTTCATTAAGCTTCTAAACTTCTCAAATTGACACAATGTACAAACCATTACAGGCCCCTGATGGTGTATAAGGAAGGTAAGGAGTCTCCCACCGGAATTTGGTTCCCAAGCAGCTGGTTTGTTGAAAGTCTGAATAAGATTTAGGCTTTTTCACTTACTCCCCTTACTAAATCACATCAAATACGTGTCTTCTTCTAAATTTTTAAATTTTGGGGGATTCTTCTAATATGGAAAACCAATCTAACAACAGCAAAGGGTAATAATTCTCATTACATTTAAGAATCAGCACAGCATTCTGAAACATATGCTTTTATTTAAAAAGAAAATTGGGCCTGCAGGTGCAGCTAATCAACTTGCCTAGCATGTAAAAGGCAATCCCCAGCACTGCCAAAATACGAAGAAAAAAGAAAGAAATTCCACATATAGGAAAGTATCAGCTACATGATCCAGCTAAATGACCCTTTGCTTTGCTATTTCATTCAGCTAGTGTGCTATTTTATTCCCTATTAAATGACTTGTGATTTGTCACTAGGATAGCCAGGTTTCCAGGTTTGCAATTGTGCTGATTTTTGTCGGGGCTATTCCAGAATTCTGTCATTTCCATCAAAGCCCTTCTGGTGCTTTATATTGTGGGTTGTGTGTTATCTTTGTCTCCAACAAACTTCAAACCTCCATGACATGTTTGGCAAGAAGGAAAGCTCACTTTGATTTAACTCACTTAGAACTTTTTTCTCTGCTCTCCTGTATGTGCCTGGTTAGGTGTCCTGAATAGATATTCAGGGACAAGGACCGATGTGGATCGCGAATTTGTTATAATGTTTACTCTCGTGGATGAGAATCAAAGTTGGTACCTGGATGAAAATATCAGACATTTCTGCACTGACCCAGATTCAGTTAACAAAGAAGATGCTGTTTTCCAGAGGAGCAACAAAATGCATGGTAAGTGTCTCCCATGTTCACAAATACATACCAGTGCCCTTTGTTCTATGAGGTACAACAGGCGGAGGGAGGAGAAGTGGAATGTTGAAGCTCGTCTTACCAGATGTGTAACCTGATGGCCTTGTTGTGAAAGTGATGGAAGATACAATGTATGTTGGAAGCTCCACAGTGTGAGAGACAGTAAGGGCAGGCAACAAGTTCACTTGGACATGAAAATGAATGGATCAGTGTTATAATCAGGAAAGAATACATGGCTTAAGTGAGCCAATAGGATGGGTGGGTTTAGATTAACAGGAAGGAAAATAAAATCATCACCACATACAAATAATAATCCTGTGTTTTGTTGGGAGCAATGACACAACCCTGAAATCACAGCTCTCTGGGAGGCGGAGGTAGTAGGAACACAAGTCTAAGCCCAGACTAATCAACTTAGTCTCAGAATTAAAAATAAATAACAGATTGGGGACAAAGCTCAGTGTGAAAGGACTTGTTTTAGTCAATTATGAAATAAAAAATGGTGTTTTGTAGACCTCTATCCAGTAACTGTTTTCTTAGTGGCTGCTACATTTTAAGGATTATTCTATACATAGGGGTTTTTAAAATTACAAATATATGTTACTTTTTATTGTTTTTATTAGTATATTTTCAGGGTAATATAGTGTTCATTCCTTTCATGGACTGGTAAATGTAGCTAACACATCTTAATTCTTTTTTTTTCACCTCCTTTCCTTCCTTTCTCTCCCCATTCCTTCTATCTCTTGATCCCCTTCACATCTGAGAATGATCTCTCTCCCTACTTCCTGTTATCTTTTATTTTTCTCTTTCCTTATAATTTGAGTTTCTGTAGTTCTACAAGTTCTGTAGTTCTACCAGTCTACATTCCCACCAACAATGTAGGAGGGTTTCTTTTCCTCCACAGGCTTATCAGCATTTACTATTATTTGATTTTTTGATGGTAACCATTATTTTTGGCATAAAATGGAATTTCAGTGTTAAGTTGCATTTCTCTCATGGACGGTGATGTTGAGCATTTTTTCATGTATTTATTGGCTATTCGTAATTCTTGTTCTGAGAAGTGTATCCATTTCTTTGGTCAGGTTTTGACTGGGTCTTTTATGTTTTGGGTTCTGATTGTTTTAGTTCTTAATATATTCTAAAAATAAATTCACAGTCTGAAGAATAGCTGGCAAACTTTTTCCCATTTTGTAGATTTTCTTTTCACCCTGTTGACTGCTTCATTTGCTGTACAAAAGCTTTTTACTTTAACATGACACTGTTGTTGATTCTGGGTAGTATTTCCTGTACTACCAAGATTCTGTTCAGAAATTCTTACCTACACCTATGACTTCAAGAGTTTTACCTATTTTATCTGCCAGCAGGTTTAGTGTCTCTTTTAACATTTAGTTCTTTGATCTATTTTTATTTTAGTTTAATTCATGGTGAGAGATATGGGTCTAGATTCAGTCTTTCCAGTTTTCTCAACATCATTTATTAAAGATGCTATTTTTCTGCCAGTGTATATTTTGGTGTTGTTTTTGTTTGTTTATTTTTTGAGACAGGGTCTCACTATGCAGTTTAGATTGGCCTTGAACTCACTCACTGGCCTCAAAATTGAGGCAATCCTGTTGCCTCAGTCTCCAGAATGCTAGGTTTACAGGCATGTGCTACCAGATCCAGTGTATGCTTGTGATCTTTTTGTCAAAGACCAAATAGTTAAAGATGCTTGGGGTTACTTCTGCATTTGGTATTCTGTTGCATTGTGCCACATGTCTGTTTTTGTGCCAGTACAATGCTGTTTTTGTCCTGTAACTTTGTAATATAACTTTGAGTCCAGGATTGTGATGCCTCTTGCTTTGGTCTTGTTACCTAGGACTGCTTTTGATATTCTGAGTCTATTCTTCTATCATGTGAATTTGTTTTCTCTAGTTCTAGGAAGATTGCTATTAGTATTTTGATTTGGATTGTGCTAAATCTATATATAAATTTTGGAAGTATGGCCATTTTGTCTGTATTGATTTTGACTGTCCAGAAACAGGGGGTATATTTCTATTTTCTAAAGTCCACTTAGAGTTCCATTTCAGACAACTGTAGTTTTCAGTGTAGAGGTCTTCACTTGCTTGGTTAGGTTAATTCCTAAGTATTTCATTTTTCTTGGTGCTGTAGTGTATATTATTTTCCCCTAATTTCTTTCTGAATGAGTTTATTATTAATGTATAGGAGCACTATTGATTCTTGCATGTTGATTTTGTATCCTGCTGCATTATTGAATTTGATTATGAATTCCAAGAGTCTTTTGAAGGATTTTGGGATGTCTTCTATTTAAAGAATCATGTTATCTGCAAATAATGATAATTTGACATCTTTCCTGTGCATATCCTTTTTATTTCTTTTTCTTGCTAAGCGCTCTTGAAAATGTTTTGAGTACTATGATGAACTTAGTGGGTATTCTTGTCTCATTTCTTACTTTAGAGGGAAAACATTCAGTTTTTCCACATTTAATGTGATGTTGACAGCAGATTTGTCATAAGTGGCTTTTATCAGATTGAGACAGCTCTTTCTATACCTATTTTCTTCAGTGTTTTTATCATGAAAGGATATTGGACTTTTGTCAAAAGCCTTTTCTGCATCTATTGAGATGATCATGTGATTTTTGTTCTTATTCTGTTTATGCAGTGTACTACATGTACTGATTTGTGTGTGTGAAACATTGCCTACATTTTGAGATGAAGCCTATTTGGTCAAGATACATAATTTTTTGAGGATTTGCTGTAGTCTGTTTGCCTGCATCTTACTGAGGATTTTTGCATCTATAGTCATTAAAGAGATTTGCTTATAGTTCTCTAAATTAAGGGTTTTGTTTAGTTTTTACTGCACTTGGTCATGTCCAAGGTATCATTTAGATAGTTTAAAAGCATTCAACACTGGCCCTGTAGTATAAACATAATCAGTAAAATTTTGCCCAATAGCTTTTAGTAAGAACTAGTTTTCAAAAAAGAAATGATTTTTCTATGTGCTTTTAAAAGTAAAAAAACTATAAATGTATCTCATAAGTGCCCTTGCAGATGTAATAAACAGATATTCTGAAGAAGAGACACTAAGAAACCCAATGCTAATTCTATAATATTATGATATAAAATCTAGCAATACTATTATTTACTGTTCAGAGTGATATTAGTCTAGTCTCTTAAATTCAATTTCAGCATATGCCAAGATAAGGACAGCTACTACAAAGAGAATGAGAGACATTATGATAATCATTATTGACTTCCCCAATGTCAGATCTTGAAGACCTAAAAAGCCTTCATCATCCTGTAATGATTTGATTAGTTCTATAATATGCAGTATGTATTCAATGTGTGTGAAGATGGGGCCAACTATTTGGAAGAAAACTGGAGACAATAAGATAGACAGTGAAGATCTCCAGCAGACTTGCTTTGAAATCTGTATTTCTTTAAATTGTTTCTTTGTGAACTGTTTTGTTCTGTTTTGATATGTTTAATCTTACCCTCTTTAAGATAAAAAACAAGTTGTAGGACTAATAACCATATTACTAAGTTTTTGTTGGATCATTGAGCAGAACTGTTGACAGTGTCACTATTTGAATGTCACTTTATATGCTTTAATTTTGTAACCTGAACAACTATTTCTAAGATGACAATACATAACTTAAAAAAAATAAGTGCCCTTGCATTAGCTTGCCGATTTCTTTTGTTACCTAATTAAGCAGATACCACATACCAGGTTTTATGCTGGCTCATAGTAGCTGGAAGGTATAAGGTTTCTAGTTCCAAGGAACATGGAATCCAGTGTAGATGGCAGATGTGTAAACGAAGGATCAGATAGTGGGTGACTGGGCCATCCTGGAAATGTGAGCAGCCCTTGGCTTATTCCTGACCTCATGATTATGCTCATGCAGCAGTTCCAAGGGTGCTTTCAATGTGTACTGATTTTCTATTTTTTTAAGACTTGCTTTTATTTGCATAACTCTCATTTGAAGTACAATAGTATTTACAGCACATAAAACTATAGTATGGTACAGTACTGGTTTTCATTTTTACCAAGTACAGGTGCTCTTCTCTCATAAAAGAGCAACACAAAGTTTTTAATTTTCACTTGGGACAACAGCATAAAAACTTTAACAACAGTGATCTGCCTCATTTTCAGCTGTGCTAAAGTAAATATTACTGTGAACATTTCTGATCATATTTGCCTCTGTCTCTTCCATTAGTGTGTTTCTTTTTGCAGCTCTCAATGGATACCTGTTTGGAAACTTTCCTGAGCCTGAAATGTGTGTTGGTGAATCTGTGTCCTGGCACCTATTTGGAATGGGGAATGAGATAGACATCCATTCTATCTATTTCTACGGTAACACCTTCATCAGCAGAGGGCATCGGACTGATGTCGTCAACCTGTTCCCAGCTACCTTCCTCACAACAGAAATGATAGTTGAGAATCCTGGAAAATGGATGATAACCTGCCAAGTCAGTGACCACCTACAAGGTAAAGAGATTGAAGACCTGTGTAGAGATGCTTAGAAATGGGACACTTGAAGCATATAGTCATCAGTGCTCATCCAATACTTGCTGTTAAGCAGTCTCTCTCTCTCTCTCTCTCCTCTCTCTCTCTCTCTCTTTCTTTCTCTGTCTCTCTTTTTCTTTTTCATACCAGGGATCAAACTCTCGTCCTAATGCTTGCCAGGCAGGCACTTGTGCCACTGAGCTAAATCCCCAGTCCCATGTTAAGTAGACTTTTACAAATATTGTTTTTACTTAAATATTAAATATATAGGAACATAAAATTCTCATTTAATTGGCATCCTATCAACAGATATTTACTAATCATGTCCGTAAGGAGAAAAGAAGAAAAGGTTTTGAAGAACCTACAAGTTTGTACTTAGACATAAATATTTATAAATGTGAGGCAAGAAAGACAGATGTTCTTTGGGCACTTTTGTCACTATTCCAGAGCAACAGAGGGGCCTCCTGAGACTGGATCCTGACATAAGATTTAAAGTATGGGTAGGAACTGGATAGACTGAGAAAGGCTGAGTTCAGTGGGCCTACCCAGTATGCCTACCACTAGGCATGCTGAGGCAGGGTGATTGCAAGTTTAAGACCAGCCTGACAACCTAGCAAAAACCTGTCTCAAAATAAAAATAAGAAATAAAAAAAGGATATGGCTTAGTGTTAGAGCACCGCTGACTTTGGTCTCTAGTAGTGTAAAGAAAAAGTTTTCAAGTAGAGGCAGAAGCATGAACTGAGATAATCACATTAACTTTCAGTGACTGTAGATAGAATAATAAGTACTTTCTAGTTAGGACTAATTCCACCATTCAATTTTTTAATTTCCTTTTAACATCTCAAGTAACTAGAGCAGCTTACCTCATATCTCAAATGCTCCATTAGAATGTTCTTCTCCCTTATATTGACGCAAAATCCATTGTCCTATGGTATTCTTCATGGCCTATGGCAGGTGCATGATAAGAATTTGTTGACTTAAATGCCTCTTGAATGACTTGATCCTGGTTGCTTGGGACAGTGTAGAATAGGTCCTGAATTGTCTGGAGCATATAGTTTGTGCCAGAGGAGTGAGGAGAGAGCAGCCTAAGGATGCCAACTGGGTTTCTATGTGAGGGGCTTTGAATGGCCAAGCTAAGGAGTTGCAAGTGTGTCTGGGAAGCCATTGTGAGTCCCTCTAGAGCCTCAGGCATACTACTAACATACTGCAGTCAACACAGTGGATTGGGAAGATTACCATGATAGATGCGTGCAGATAAGATGCAACAGGAAAATTCTGGCCACTGATTTATAGTTAACAAGAGCTGGCAGCATTAGAAGAACACATATAGAATCTGGCTTAACATGGTAGGAATAAGAGAAATCATGTTTTCAGTGAGATGGACACAGAAGAAAGAAGTTATGACTAAATTCTGATAGTAATAACTACATACTAACAGATACAGAAGTCCAACCGTTCAGCACAGTTTGGTAAAACATTCTTGCTCCATGTGTAATGGTCTGAGAAGACCAGAAGGATCAAAACAAAGTTCCTATTCTTAAAGGGTTTCATGCTGTTAACTCTGGGAAGAAATTCTTTGACCTAGAAATTCCAAATTTAGATTTAAAATGAAGAAAATAGCAGCCATCTAAGACTACCAGGATTGCTAAATTTGGCTAGTAGTTGTGAATATAAGCTGGTGTTTATGCATTCACCAATATGTATTTCCTAAATTGTTCACACCCTCAGAAAAATTACTGTAAAATAGAAAATACATGTAATTCAATTTTAAAAATCAATGATTCTATCTGGAGGCACTGGTGTAATATTTTCATGAATATGCACCCTCACCATTTCCTACACCTTTAATAAACACATCATATATAAAATATAATCTGTCTCATATACTATTCTATACCTTACTTTTCCCACTCATTAATGTATTAGAACAACAATTTCATTATCAGTGAATATTGAGCTATTTCATCATTGTTAATGCTTCCAGTGTTCATAAGGAGATTACAATCTATTTAACCAATACTGTTTTACCAACCACTTACATTTTCCTTCTTCTTCCCCACATTTTTTTTTTGCCTCTATACACAGTTTACAAATATTTTTGTACATGTGTCTGAACATTTCCTTAGGAATACTCCTAAGGAATTTCCTTTGGAATCTTAGGATTATACTTTAACCTATTTTTTTTTATTTTTTAGTTTTTTTGTCCTTTTGAGGTAGGATCTCACTGTGTAGTTCAGGCTGGCCGTAAGCTCATTTTGTAGCCCAGGTTGGTCTCAAACTTGCATGGATCGTCCTGTCTCAATTTCCAGCCGCTGGCATTAGAGGTGTGTACAACCATGTCCAGTCAAACCTCTTTTGTTAAAGGTGAAGACATATATCGTTACTTCCCTTTTAGAGACTGTCATTCTTCCCCCCATGGGGTCTGAGTGTATGTGTCTCTTTATTCATCTGCCAACACTGAAGATTATTAGTATTTCTACTGACCACCAGTCTGATCAATGAGCAACACTGCCTTTTAATTGGTATTAAGACTGAAATATTTTTGTTTATTGACTGTCATTTCTTTTGTGTAATCTATTTATGTTCCTTGCCTATTTTTGATTGGAGATTTAATTTTTTCTTCTTTATTTTAAAAAATGATTTATATATTAATTTTTTATCATGTGTTATATCTTCATCTCCATTTATTCTTTGCTATTTAACTTTGTTTATAGTTCCATTTTCTACATAAAGGCTTAAAGTGTTCATGAAGTCAAATCTTATCACTCTTTTCCTGTATCATTTAATTTAAACATTTCTCCAATCTCTCTCTCCAATCTGCAGCTGGTATGCTGGGGCAATACAATGTTGGTAACTGCAAAGCTGGTGTTTCTCACCCTAAGTTGGGTCAACAGAGGCACTACTTTATAGCAGCTGAGAAAATTCTTTGGGATTATGGTCCTCAAGGCTATGACAAATTCACTGGTCTCCCTCTAAATTATACTAACAGGTAAGAACTCTGCTGATTCACTGGTGTTGCTCACTCCTCCTCCTGCTACTGTCTGTCTGTCTGCCTCTGTCTGTCTCTGTCTCTGTCTCTCTCTGTCTCTCTGTGCATCTTTGTGTTTCTGTCTCTCACTCTCTGTGTCCCTCTCTGTCTCCCTGTCTCTCTCTGTCTCTGTCTCTCTGTCTCTCTCTCTCTCTCTCTCTCTCTCTCTCTCTCTCTCTGGCTCTCTCAAAGCAGCAGATTCATTCATCAGACATTTCTTAAGTACTACTATGTACAAACTACAGTGCCACATACTATTTGAAATACCGAGCCTTTGTACATGTGGATCAGATTAGTCTTGAGAGGAAATATGACAGAACTCACTTTCAATGGAAATGAGCTTTTTTAAAAAGATGAGTGTTTTAGGCTTGAGGACAACCTGATATAAGTTATGCCCGTTCTATCTATAAATGGCTTTTTCTTCCCTGTGCAGTAAAATGTTTCCTCCAAAAGTAAAAGTAAAAAGTGAAAGTTTTCCTCCAAAGCCTAACTCTAATATTGCTTCTTAAGTGATCATTCCCCTGGCTCCTGAGTTGTAATTAATCATTTGTCCTTCAAGATCCCATAGCATGTAGTACTTCTCATTATGGAAATTTAGTAAATGGATGTAGACTCCTGTGACTTACAGCATTACATGCAGTGGTGTCTGTGAAAGCATTAACAGTGTATAGCATGATACTGAGGATGATTGCTGTTAGTCTCTGGTCACTATTTGTATTTGAAAAATTCTCTTGTAATCAATGATAAGACATATTGTGTTTCCTTAATTGTCCCTTCCTCCTTTTCTTCTTTCCTTTTTTCGTCCTTCGTTCCTTCTTCCACCAAATTGATGCACTTGCAAAGAATCCGTGCGAATTGTCTCTTTAATATCAGCATTCTTTGTTGGCCAATATTTCATCATAAAAAGAATAATGAAAACTATCATCAAATATCAGTGAATATTTAATATGATATATGAAATCACATTGTACTGGTAGCATGAGAGATGCAAATGCGTCTAAGAAAATGTCCCCACCTTTGTGTGGAGAAAGTAGCTGTGTGCACAGGAGAAGAGAAGAGTAAGTGAGTTCTCAGGTATCCAGGGAGAGCAAAATAGCCAGGAAACACTTGGCTTTCAAAGAGTATGTTTAAGAGTGACTATATGAATAATGAAAAGAGAGAAAATTTAGATGCAGGAGTTCATACAAAGCACCTACTGTATAGGAGAGAGTCAGCAGGTCATAACAAGTGGAGTAGGATACTTGAATAAGGGAATAAACGTTTTCATGGAGCAATAGTGAGAAAATGAGGCAAACCAATTATTAGTCACAGAGATCTTTGGTACTCTTGAACTTTATGATGGTCAGCTGGAAGCAATTAAATATTTGGGGACAGGTAAATAGCAAGGAAAGTTACTATTTTTTAGATCAAAGTTCTAGCAATGTATATACCAAGAAAAAAATGAGTGAGCCATTGCAAGATAGAGGATGGAGAGTATGCAGTCAGGAGGTTCATACAGTGATCCAAACCCAGGGTAAAAAGGGCACAAACCAGGGTTGGACTGGTAGGGATACAGGAAAGTGCAAAATGGGTGTTGAAAAGAGAGAATGTAAAAGCAACTTACAAATTGAAGGTGAATAAGATAAAGGGATGAGACGAAAAAGACAGTAAGCAATTTCAAGAGTGACATTACCATTGATTTAAATAAGATAGTAGAGGGATGGTATTAGTCAGAAGATAATGTTTCACAATTTTAGGATTTAGTGTTTCATGTGTATAGCTTATAGCTCTCCATTAATTAAACAATTTGATTAGCTATATACTCCATTCCTTAAGTGTGCCAGATATCAAAGAGTTTATTGTAAACAGAGACTATTCATATTGGCATATGAACTAGCTAGAGATAACAAGATGCTTTTTCTGCAAAGAAATCATTTAGGTCTCTATTATTGGTAGAATACTATTCTGGAACTCCACTATTGGTAAGAAAGGAGTTTACCTGTGACTTCTTTGGTTGCTGGGCCTTTGGGGGAAGAGAGTACAACGACTAAGAGAAATGAGCCTGACCACCATCCAGTTTCTGAAGACTTTTAAAGCTGGTTGACTCTCTGGGAACCTAGTTGAAGACTGTACAGTCTTCTCTGGGCAGATGAGTGGGGGAGTGGGATAGATAACCCCACCATGAAGGCATCTGGTAGATATGTCAGGATGTGTTCTTAGTTTTGTTTTATGTCTTTCCACAGTGATTCTGCATTCTACTTTACACAAGGGGAAAACAGAATAGGAGGAAAATATTGGAAGGCTCGATATACAGAGTATGTGGATGCATCTTTTACTCAAAGAAAGAGGTCCTCTGAGACAGAAGCCCATCTTGGAATTCTTGGTATAGTAAAACCACACTCATACTCCGAAGGCAGAGAAGTTTCCTTTGGGGATATACATACAGAGACTGGCTCTCTTGCTCCTAGTCTCCTCTTTCTATCTTTTTCACCCTCTTCCCTTTCAATATCTTCCAGGTCCAGTCATCAAGGCAGAGGTGGGTGATACCCTGCTAGTGACTTTTGCCAACAAAGCTGACAGAGTCTACAGTATTTTGCCCCATGGTGTGCTCTATGACAAGGCATCTGATGCAGCCCCAAATGTAGATGGTAAGCCTCAATTTGGGCTTAGGCAGGACACAGGTTGAGTAAGCAAAGGATTAAGAAGTAGATGAGCCTGTTTAAAATCCCAGTCTCTTTGCTTAACAACCCTGAGAATGTAGGCAATTATTTAAATTTTGTAAACCCTATTCTCTTTTGCCGAGTAGACTGCATGAGCTATCCTTCCACTGACAATACTGCTTTTAGGAAACTCTCACTCCTTGTTACACGTCCCAGTCACTGCACCAGACAACAGCTGCCTGGGATACTTGCCCACACCCAAGTGTGAAGCCAGGTCCAGCTGAAAGCAGCTTTATGGTAATGGAGAGGGGATAGGGAAGGAAGGAAGGAAGGAATGGAGACAGGCCCAGCCTGACTCTCCTGCTGCAGCAGTATCTCTTGGTCCTGTATTCTCTTCCTTGGTCAGGGTGCTCAGAATGACTTTGTGTGTGTAGGTATAGAAATAGTATCAGAGACAGCAGAAATGTTTATATATTCCTTCTATTTTTAAAATTCAGCAATCTTATTAAACACATTTTTGCAAAGTACAGTACCAGATACAGAGTAAGGCCGTAACCTTATCTAGTGGGAGAAATGCAATGTGTACTTTGGCAATACAGTGTGAGAATTAAGTGCACACAATCAAACAGACTTTAGTGTGAATCTTGGATTTGCCATTTATCACCTTTGTGACCTTGAACACTGACTTCTGCTATCTGGTAGTTATTTAGGTTGTTTCCTAATTCAGTTTCCCAGATTTCAAACTTTTTACAGATATGTCTCTTGCTTAACTTTTTGGGGTATCTTCTATAGCACCAAGATACTTCACATAGAAGGCTGTCAATAATATCATAAGGATTTGCATTTTTATTACTAAGTGAACAAATATTACTTTTTAAATATTTGCCAAATATACTGTTTGGATATAAAGAAATTATAGTGCTTACAGAACAGATAATCTTTTAAGTTTCTGTCTCATAAAACAGCAGACTGTGGAAGTGACCTCTTTTGGTAGGATATGTAAAAAAACAATTGTCCTTCTACAAAATACATCATCATCAGAGAAGGACGCCCCAGGCTGGAGACTCAGTCTGACAAGTTTAATGTTCTTGGATGTTGCTTTAAGTAACTGTTTCATTTGTATCTTCAGGATTTCTGAAACCAGGGGCACATGTTAAACCAGGAGAAACCTTCACGTACAGGTGGACAGTGCCAGAAAGTGTAAGCCCAACCACTGATGATCCTCCTTGCCTGACCTATCTTTACTTCTCAGCAGTGGACCCCATCAAGGACACCAGCTCTGGCCTTGTAGGGCCTTTGCTAGTCTGTAAAAAAGGCGTTCTCAGAGCTGATGGAACACAGGTAGGCCATCAAATGCCACCAGGTTTTACTTAGGGTTGTATGTGGAAAAGGTCAATACTATGGCTAAAGATTAGACAGCAATGAAGACTTACTTACTTACAGAAATGATCTCTTTCCTTCCTTTTGAAATTGACCTTTAACTCAGATTTTTTAAAATTTAAGATCTAAATTTCTAAGTTACCATTCCCCTCGAGGAGCCTAGCTTTTCTCCTTATTGTATTTGGGATTTGGCAGGCTTCATTCCCTCTGTGATACTTTGATTCTGAAATCCTAAGATACATACATGGAACATGATTGGAATCCTTCTTACTGGGCAAGGTTTCTCACACTTGGCCATACCAGGCAACACTTTAAGTACCCTTTATTCAAACACTGCGGACCAATAAATCAGATCTCCAGGTGATTCCTATGTGCAGCCAGGGCTGAGGACCACTGTAGCTCATTCCTATCAACTGGAAGTTAATCATTATAACTGAAGGAACAATAAAGTGTGTAGATAACTCCTTACAAGTCTCAGCTTTTAGAGGTGTGGTTATTGCACTGATTAGTGGGGCAAAATGAAGCTTTTAAAGCTACGTCTACAAGATATGAAGTACACTTATGTAAAGAGAAAAATCCAATCATTTAACCACTTCACAAATTACGTCACCAATCAGAAATAGCAAGCCAATTTATTTAAGTGGAATATTATATAATATTTGGTATGATATAGACCACTTCTGGGATTAGATAAATTTCTAGGTTTAGGGAACACAAAGCATCTTGGGCCAAGTCAGATTTTCATTTCCTCATATGATGGAAGTGACCCCCAAAATGTCAATTCTATATATGATAAATTGAGTATTTCTACTTTGTCTTAACAATAATATAAGGAAAACAGAATTATTATCAATATTTTAAAGCTGAAGAAACACAGGGCAATGAAGCTGATTGATGGTCTAGGAAACACACCTCGTAAGCAGTGAAAGTCAGCAGAACACAGGACTTTTTTGAGTATCTAATCCTATCCTTTTCTCAGTACACTAACTTGCTCCCTTCCAAGAGGTTATGTATCAGAAAATATTTGTAAGGTAGTTCTGTTTTGTCCACTGTATCTATTCAAAAGTAAATTTGCTAAAAGTACTTTGTGCAAGCTGTTGCACAGGTAGATACTATTTATAATAAGATCACTTGTATAATATTCATGGGAGAAAATACTAACCCAAAACAACCTTCCACCTGGAATTTGGTTGAGAGAGAAATTCACTTAGCCAAAGTTATTTTCAACACAAGAAACACTTCAGAGACTCTTAGTATGTGTCAGTTCCTCTACAGGTAAAAACTTGACTAGGCTTCTTCTAGACAGGTTGAGAGATGAGCATGGAAATAGTAGGTGTTTGCAGCTCCCTCCAGTAAAATGTCATAAAAATTCTCCCAGAGGTGAATGGATGTCATAGAATATGGGTAGGGGATATAAAAACATTTTAAAGATAATTATGACTCTCCACAATAACCGTTCAATCAAACCCCCTCCTACCGGTCCTTATCGCCTTTCCTTCTCTCCATCCTCTCTCCCTCCCTTCTGGGGCATTGGCCACCCATGGTAAGAAGAAAAAGGCAGAGAGAAGCAGCCTGACTGTAGAGAGTCATGCGATACAAATGCTTCTGAGCAGGGGTGTAGTTTCTTGGAGAAAGTCACACAGGTAAAGGACATAATAAGAAAGACACATTTCTCTGAGCGTCTTATGAACTTATCAGTGTCATACCCTGAAACCCAATATACAGAATGACTCAGTGACTCTGGCTAATGTTGATGAATGCTCATGCAAATGTATAAAGTTGTGCAAAATTTAAAGGTGAAGCAATGCTAGGAATTCTTGAAAGATGTGCTCTTCATATCTTCATTTCTTCCTTCTTCATAGAAAGGAGTAGACAAAGAATTTTACTTACTGTTCACAGTCTTTGATGAGAACCTGAGCAGGTATCTTGATGAAAACATTCAGAAGTTTACCTGGCGTCCCTTCAGTGTTGACAAGGAAGACAAAGAGTTTGTGAAATCCAACAGAATGCATGGTATGATAAATGGCTTTGTCTCTTGTCAGCCAGCAAAAGGCTTAATTGCATTTGAAGTGAAATATTTGGAATATTTCAACTATCTCAGTCTTCGTTTCAGTATTGCTCTTGATTTTGAAGTAAGTTAGTTCATGCCTTCAGCTTCACAGGTATCTCCCGGACATATTGTGAAGCCTAATGATTACTTCTAAAATACTGTAGATAATTAACACAGAAATCTGAACTAGAGAAAATAACAATACATCAGAAATTCAGAAAATTACTGATAAAATTTTTTCCCTTGGGTTGGAAATAACATCGAGTCAGATAATACAAGAGATAATACAAGGAGTCTCATGAGTGTTGGGCGTATTAACTAAGATGGTGGAGTAATGAGCCAGAGTGCAAACTCGCGGCCCCAAGAGTGTGCAGTTGACTCAAGTGCTGTAAAGTAGCACGTTCAAATCCCCTTTTTTAAATCCAAGTATGACATATATTAATTGCCTTTTAAAACATTATTGAAGATAAAGCACATTTCCCCAACCGCTCTCACAGAAAGGTCCAAGGTTAAAAGCAACCCACAACAACCACTTACAGATTTCCATGGTTCCTGAGGCTCAGGTCTAGCAGTCCTCACTTAGACCTGGGGGAGGCATGGACTAATGCACTCTTATTACCTTCTTCTAGGAAAGTTTTGCCATAAATAGATAAGAAATTTGCTCCAACATTTTAGTAGACAATAAAAAGCTAAGCTAGAAATGGGGAGACACAGTAATTCCTTAGTGGGAATCCAAATATAAAAGAAATTTATCATCAGCGATGCCTTTATGTAAAAAATATAGAACAACTGAAGAGACCGTGTAAAGTTCAGCCCCAGCCTGGTTGGAACTCATTTGAATATTGTGGAAATGCAGTGGATATTCATTTCAAAGCAAATCTTACGGATAATTTTGTATCTCAACTCAAAATTCACATTAATTATAAAAGAATTATAAAAATTCACATTAATTAAACTAGAGTTCCAAATCAAGAAAAAATTCCCTACCAAGTCAGTGAGGTACTAAGTTACCCTAATTCATGCTAATATTCTAACATTTGGTGGATAAGATTTAGACCACTTATTTGTAAAAGCATTATCAAACTGTTTCTTTCCCCAAAGACTGTGTCCTTTGCATAAGCCCCATGGTTTCTTTGACTATCTAGTAATATTACCAGGCTTAAGTACAATTACCAAGTGCCACTGGTTCAAAAGACACAGAAAAAAAAGTCATTTTATTTGACAATAAGATTATACCAGAAGGCCATTCATGTGTGTGAGAGTTGTTCTTAGTATGGGCATTAGTATGGAATAGGAGGGGAAATATATTTATCTCCAAGGAAGGTAGAGCATGAGGCATGGTTATATTATGGTTATGACTTCTGACATGCAGCTTTCACACTTGAAACCCCCTGCCCCAAATGTACTGCTGAGCTTTAGCAAGAATGGTGTTTTTAATGTACATAATTCTGGTGGGCTCTGACTCCCTTTTTCCTCCTCTCTAGCTATTAATGGTTATATGTATGGTAACCAACCAGGCCTAAGCATGTGCAAAAAGGATAGAGTTTCCTGGCATTTGATTGGAATGGGGACTGACACCGACATGCATGGAGTTTATTTTCAAGGGAACACCATCCACCTGCGAGGGACTCATCGTGATTCCCTGGCTCTATTTCCCCACATGGCCACGACAGCGTTTATGCAGGCAGACCATGCAGGTAAACTTGATGAGTGCGTCTCAGGTGTTTAAATTCCAATTTAGCTTCATAAAACTCTCACCAAGAAGAAACAAGTAGACTTTGAATGCTTCAAGGGGCGTAGAAACAGATACAATCTTGATTCAAACCGGAGGGTCCTGGCTATTTTAGTCTACACACATAGTGTGAGGGGAGAAAAGTTAACATCCCCAAAGCAGAGGTAGGAGCCTTCTAAATGGCTTTGCCACACAAATCCCAGTGAATGTTCCAGATTCATATCCCCAAAAAGGATTTTTTTGTGTAATAAAAAACAATATGCTATATAAGATAAGTATTCACTGACTCTGTCTCACGTAGTAAGGGACAGGCTACTTTTTTAAATTAGATTTTATTGGTACCTTTTAGATATACGTAACAACAGGCTCCTTCTTTACCTCATCCTGGAAATGCAGTTCAGATGCCTCTGCATCATCAGTTAAGAATCTGAAGCTTGAACTTCAAAGCCTTTGCCTAAGAACTCCCTGAGGGTAGGAGCTCTATGATCTTTGCCTTATAAACTTGTAAATTTCTAGTAGTGTTGAACCTCTCCACATTAATATAGGTGATTATTAATCACCCAAATCAAGGGATGCTTAAACACAGTGGCTTTTTTTTTTTTAATGCATTTGGCAGTGAGGGGCAGGAGGTTAATCGTCCTAACCTGTGGAAACAGACGATCAAAGATGGAGCTGGTTGGAATATTTTCAGAGATTTAGCTATTTATTCCAATGTTTTCACCCTAATTATATGCCTCGCAGCATAAGATTTTAAAAAGCTTCATAACAATGTTTTCTGGCTTATGTTTGGCACTGAGCATAACTTGATCTTCCTAACAGCTTAGTGATTTCACTAATTCTCCAGACTTGCCTGTAAGGTGAGAAGAACACTCAAAGAGTAAGAAGCACAGACAGTAGGCTGCCACGCAAACATTTCTTTCTTGTTCTTAGAGAAGATAATTCTTCCACTATTGAAAAACTGTGTTGGAAATATATCTCATGGGCTTCCAGGAGAAATAAAGTATGCAAGGAGGTCTTTCCACAGAGAAGAGGTATCTTCTCTATGGTTTCACAAAGACCCTTCCTCATGAAGATCTTGTTCAGTGGGGGGCTTGGGCACCCACGAGGCTAACTGGTTTTGGTTATCTAGAATATATACTTTGGTAATGTGTAAACAGAATTGCATATGAAACAAGACTGAAGCTCTCTCTTTGTGCATTGTTGAAGTTAATGAAAGGCACACTGATCATGCACCTCTAAGAACAATGTATTAGAGAAAGGAAAGAGCCACTGATTAAATAATTTCATTGAGAGTTAATATCTCGATTTTGTTTCATATGACTTTGGTAAGTTCAATTATGATATATCTACCTGATGTCAATGCAGCAGAAAATTCAGTTTACAAACACATAAACTTTAATCAGACATGATAATTGATATTATTTAGTGAAATCTAGTCAATTTTCTTTTGCATCTGATATAATGTAGATTGGCATGAAAATTCCCTTTACTCAAGATTTTAATGAAGTAAATACATTTGACTTTTATAATACCTCATTTATTTATTGTGACTTACAGCTTTTTAAATCCTTTAGGGTTTTGGATTTCAGGAAGATGGCCTACTCTGAACTTTTCTAGGATATTTTACTCTGAATTTTTCTAGGTTAGTCATCTTACAAATACTTCTTTTTAAATTGGGCTGGACTCAATCACACTCATTAGTGATTTTCCTGGAGTTGATTATCTTCCTGTAGGTTTCTAAAATATGGACTACTAAGAGAAGTTATTGTTCCATTGCAAATGAATTTCAGATGGTATTTTTCCTCCAGAAGTAAACATATTCAAACACTTTGTTTCCTTTGGGGTCTGACTTTAAAATACCACCTTCCTGGTTGTTGATTTTGAAATAAACGTGTAGGATTACTAAAAGCAGACCAGGGGCACAAATAAAATCCAGCACTATGCACAACGTCAAGCCCCTTCTCTTTCAGGTATTTTCAAGGTGTTTTGTTCCACCTTGCATCACTTCACCAAAGGCATGGGTCAGATATATGAGGTCAACAGCTGTGGCAACAGAGACCCTTCTGAGCAGCCCTACGGGATGATAAGAACCTTTTACATCGCTGCTGAAGAGGTAGAATGGGATTATGCCCCTAACAAAAACTGGGAGTTCGAAAAGCAGCCCTTGGACGCAGGAGGGGAAAGGTACCACAGGCGAAGCCGCCAAGTCTCTTGGGTGGGAATGTGTACGCTCTGGAGGCATTTATCACACCTTGAAATCTAGAAGTGCCAGGTGATGATTAGGAAAGCTGTGTGTCTCCAGCCTGAAAGGAAGAGTGAAGTCCTCCTGGGGGCACTTCTCTCTGTTCTGTGTACCTCCCCCAGTGGTGAGTGGTGTGTGATGGGGTTGGTGATGGATGGCTGTGCCTGTGAGTGACACACAGAAGGAAAGCTCGGAAGAGGCAGATTCGAAGACACTGTGGGACCAGGAGACAACGGAGGGCAGAGGAGATAGGCAGGGTGTGTAGATCCCAGATAGGCTACTGTAGAAGGAAAAGCACAGGAAAAGGGAGCAGAAGACAGACTGGGCTGAGAGCCCATCTAGTTGGGATAACTGAGGAAGAGTAGGAGGTTATTGACTTAGGAGAGATCCCTAAGTCAGGATGGGAATTAGGCCCTGTACCCAGAAATCTCTCAAGATTGATCCTCCTTTGAAAGTGATGTCATTCAGTACTGCATGTCAAAGAATCAGCAATGCTGAGCCATATGCAGGCTTGTGAGTTTTGGTTTTCTACTGCCCTGACCCGAGCCCAGTAATCAACGCTCCAGGGTAGAGTCACACAGGAAAGAAATCAGGTGCCGACTGTAGCCCTCCGCCCCCACTGCTCATACCATCCACTTCATAGCACCCTGCTGCTTGTGTTTTGCTGCCCTAAATGCAAATGAGGAAACAGAGTCAAATAGTTAAAGCTATCCCAATAGTCATTGGCAGAATTGAATACAGATCTTTTGGAGGTAAATCCGTGATCTCTCCAATACATTATATTGTCTTTCCTGTTGCAGATTTCTATTTCTTATTATCACCCACTCCCACCCCTCCCTGCCATACTTACCTGCCTGCACCTCATACAAATCATCTAGGCTGCAGCACTCACAAGCAGCTCTAAAATCTGCTGTTCCTAATCTTAACATAATTTTTTTCTTACTTATTGTTACTAGTTGGCCTTCATTTTGAAGCATTATACTCCTGGAAAAGACTGTATTAATGCCATTTTATGGATTAAAAAAGGAAAATGACTATGTTGAAGATTTGCCTTGAGGACAAGATTTAAAATCATGCAATTATTCACTAATCCTTTTAAGTAGACTCTCATCTTTTGGGACACTTGCACTACCAGTACAAACTAAAGACAGATGCTGGCATGGTAGAAAATGAAATGTTTACTAATTTGGGCATTTCTAGAATGATTATTCCACTAAATGCCTGAAATAACTGAAGCAAAAATTGTACAAGTGTACAATTTTACAACTCACTTTAACCTCTATTTGAAGCCCTTGGTCCCTCTGGTCTAGCAAGAAAGTCTACTTTCAGTTATGGGTCTCTCTCTCAAGTACTGGGGAGTAGAGCTAAAATGCCTCCCCTACCACATTATTGCTTTAAATAAGTAAGAGCAAAGTGAGATAAGAACTTGTTTCAAAGCACACCGCATTCTATGGATAAACATGTGGTACTGAACTGAAAAGACATGTTCTCTTAGTGACACTTTTGAGTCTCTGTAATAGGAGCCCAAGGAAAAATGCCCCTTAGAACCTCAGTTTCTATGCCTCTTTTTTCTTTTCTTTCTTTCTTTCTTTCTTTCTTTCTTTCTTTCTTTCTTTCTTTCTTTTCTTTTCTTTTCTTTTCTTTTCTTTTCTTTCTTTCTTTCTTTCTTTCTTTCTTTCTTTCTTTCTTTCTTTCTTTCTTTTTTTGGCCCCAAAGCCATTATGAGATCACATCTGTTTCTCCGACCACCTCTTAACAGAGGTTAACTCAGGGATGTTTATTGCTCTGGTCAGCCCAACCCCTCTTCCTTACCTTGGGACTTAGAGGTCTTTTTTTGGAGTTATCTAAGAACATGCTAAGAAGGCCTCAGGATTCCAGAAAGACAACAATAAGGCTACCAGCACAATTTCAAGGAGTAAACTGTTGTAGTGGAAGTGACTTTGAAAATAGAAATTAAATGATATAGAAAAATAAAGTCATCATCTTAGTACTCTTGAGCTTCAGGCTGATGTGTGTGATTTGTAACCATTCTGGCAATAATAATAACCATCATCTATTGATCACATATATGTACTAGGAATTTTGCTAAGGTTTTTACAGACCATACTTGATATATGTTTGAACCATTCAATCAGCTCTAGCCAAGAATCTAACTTCCTCTTGAGGTCATGATAAAGAGCTTACTTGGTTTTAACATGTACCTGACATTGTGCTTTACCAACATAAACTCATACAGTCCCTTGGGGCAATTCCATGAGGTAGGTGCTTTGTCATCACCCTATTTTGTACAGGAAGAAGGCTGGGAAATACCAGAGCTTGGCTCCGTGTCTATGATGGTCATCACCACAAGCATCATTAGGAGTCACAGAAAATGAAAGTGGAAGAAAAGTTCCTTTGTAGAGCGTATAGTGTAGAACAGAAGAAACACTTGCATCTGTTGAATACCTACTGTGTGCTAGGCGCCATGCAAAGTGCTGATGAGATAGAGTGGAACTGAATAGCCAAGGTCACTTTATACTCTGAATTCCTGGCCTATGAGGAAGATGTCAGAAAAATGTGTGGATTGAGGCAATGACTAAGAAAACAAAGTTGAGGATGCAGTAGGAGCTCAAGAAGAAGTACATATTCCATCTTGGGGAAAGTTGAGGAGAGGGGAGTTTCCTGAAAGAAGTGACCTTTGAGCTGGAATATGAGATGTAAGCCAGTTTAAGAGATGGGAAACATTCCTTGGCAAAATGATAGGCATGTAAAAGGCATGGAGCAGGGAAGGCAGCACATTGTGTTCAAGAGTGAACATTTAAAATGACCCACTGCAGTGTGTGGTGGGGGTCCGTAATGGGAAATGAAGGTGAAACTGGCATTGGCAGTGTAGGAAGTCTTAAGAGCCAGACTGCAGTCTGTCAGAGGAAAGTCATAAAAAGTTTTCCCAGAGCAGGCGTGGTGGTGCATACCTGTAATCTCAGCACTCAGGGGGCTGAAGCAGGAGGATCATTGTGAGTTCAAGTCCAGCATGGGCAGTGTACAGAACTCCAGGTCACTCTGAACTACACAGAGAGACCTTGTCTCAAGAAAATATTTTTCCATAAGGAGCAACCTGCTCAAATTTATAGGTTTGGAGCACTCTTCCTGCATTATAGAGGACAGACAGAAAGGAGTTATATAGATGGCTAAGAGGGCGCTGAGGAACAATTCCAGCTAACACATTTCAGTAGTTCAGGTGGCTTAGATTTGAATGCAGGCAGTTAATGGAGGATAATGGAAGGACATGAGACTGATCATATTTTGGAGATAAGATTTCCTTTCCTTTCCTTTCCTTTTCTGACAAAGACTCATTATTTTTGCTCAAGCTGGCCTTAAACTCCCACCTCAGCCTTTTGAGTAGCTAGGATTATAGATGGGTTCCACCATGTACAGCTTTTCTGATTTAAAAAAAATCAAATTTTTTGATGATCCACCTCAATGATAAATATACATATGCAGCTGATCCTCATTCTTTGTGAATTTCACATTTGCGAATTTGCCTTATCCATGTTAAAGATAAAATTTGAAGATGAAGGCTAATATCTAAAACTTTGTAACTCCAAAGTCAATTCTTATAGCACTTTTGTGGTCATTTGAAGATATGCATAGCACTGTGGAAAGTGTAAGCTGCATGATGTACACATTCATAGTTGAGATCAGCAAAGCATTTCTCTGTTTTCTTATTTCAGATCTGCTATAAACAAGTCACAGGGATTTCTATTTAATGCCATGGGTTTTGTATCTCTATGCTTTATTTTTGTGATTTCATTGTTTAAATGGAAAATAAAAGAGTAACATTGAAGCACTATCTATTTTGAAGCACAAGAAAGCTGAGATGTTCATTAGGAAAAAGATATGTTTCTTAGAGAAGTTTCATTGAGGCAGGAGTTATAGTACTATTGACTGAGTTCAGTTAGTGAGTCACTCAGATATAAAGTATCTTTAAACAGGACCACACACAAAGCAAGCTTATAGTTTAGTGTTCATGGTGACTTTCTAGAACATAACAACCATGAATACCAAGAATGACTGTATCTATATTTGTATATGAATATAAGTGCAAAATACAACTGTAGACTTTCTTGAGTTCTTTCAAAGAGGTAAAGCACAACAAGGTATAGAATGATATATATATGAAACTTAGAGGAATTTAGGATAGTAGAGAAAAACATACATGCATGCATGTGCCATGCATGTGAGGTTAGACCAAGAACAGAAGCTCATCCTCAAGGGTTCCCCAGAAGAGTCTCTGAGGTTGGACCCATTCAGTACCTGGCAGCGACTGGGGGCAATTGTTTCAGAAGGTGGGCCATCAGCTGGTGCTGGGCTGCCTTAGCAGAATCTAAGGAGCTTTACAGTACTGATTCTTGGCCCCACTCCCAGAAAGCGGAGCAAGAGGCCAGCTTCCTGGGGTGATTCTGCTCACAGCCAGATTTTGGGAGCAGTACTCTGGAGTAAGCCCCGAGTTACTAAAAAACACTCAAGGTTTTTCTTCTTTCTAACAATCTTAATTTCTGACTTGCAGACATGGAGATATATTTATGAACCACACTGAAAACTGGATTGGCTCTCAGTACAAGAAAGTGGTTTACAGGGAATACACCAATGGAGAATTTGTGGAAATCAAAGCTCGACCACCTCGAGAGGAGCACTTAGCACTCTTGGGTATGGCACAGATTTTAGGCATGCACTGTCAGCCTCAAGCATATGCATGCATGCACATGCATGACGACACACTCACACACAAACACACAATGTCCTGCAAGACTGAGAAGGTATAAAAGAGTAGAATGATTGGATTCATGCAAGTGCAATATCTTCCTGCTCAGGCTTTGTTAGGGAGTGATGCACAAACAGAAATACAAGATGATGCACAAACAAGAATTTGTACCATCAGGGAAGTCTACCCATGTCTAATCTCTTGGACTTCTTTCCCACTTCTCTATGATACCAGGAAATTTTAATTTGAAACAGTTTGCTGTCTCAGGACATCAGGACTTCTTAGGTCCTGAGCTATTCATGCATAGTGTCATACCAAAGCACCCTAAAAATAATTATGATGAACAAGAAAGTCTTTATGTGAGATAGGTGCCAAAGGATAGCAGGTCTGATTTCAGTTCAGGAGGCTGGCCTTCCTAGAATTCAGTGAGCCGGTCTGCAGCCTTTGGCCATCTAAAGCAACCACTGGGCCTGGACAAGCTCTTCCTATTTTCCTTCCACACTTTTCCTCCCCTGGGAATTATCAGACCTGAACCCATTCTAAAAATAAGATTTGAAGGGGCTGGGGATTTAGCTTAGCGGCATAAGCACCTGCCTTGCAAGCAGGTGGTCGTGAGTTCGATCCCAGGTACCGATAAAAAAAAAAAAGATCCTCTCATAAAGATAAGATTTGAAGGCAAAAAACAAATACAGAGAACTTTTGGAAATTCCTTTCTGCTTTTAAATGCACAATGTAGCTTACATAACTAGTATAGCTCTAGATAATACTTTTTAATATGCACATAAGGTTATCTGACTTCCAGCCTGATAATTTATCAGATGTTCCACCCATCCTCCCCCACTTCCACCGTACTTACACACTGGTACTTGAACTTGTTTCTCAAAGCAAATGAAGGAGTCAACTGCAGTGAAACATTCATTCTTTGAGCCATAAATGGCCACAGGTCTCTGAAGGAAAGGTTCTGATCCTACTGAGGAGAGCCTGGTTTGGTTCTCTTCAGTGAAATGGTAGAAATGACCTTACTAGAGGCAAATTCAGCAGCCTTTGCTCATGGAAGGTGAGGCTGGCTACTCATTTTCTGCACCTTAAAGAGGGACCTGGTCACTTAGAATTGCTCAAAGGCACATGACAGACACACCTCAGTTCACCACTGTGCCCTTTGTCCTGTTATGCTATAAACCAGACGGCATTTGTTCTTAGCAGTAGACCAAGATAGGTGCAGTTTCAGTGGTGATGCATATATTAATAATTATTTAATATGTACATATATACACATACATCTATCTGTAACTATCCTTATTTACAATTAGAAGCATATATAGAATTTTTCACCTTTTTTCTAAATAAAGAGTTCTTTTAGAAATGTTTTGATTATGCAGAATTTTTTCTTCTGAAGATAATAATACTGTAACACGTTTTACATTCACTGATCCTTTTAGTGGCATTTCTCAGAAAAACAGTCAAAATTATAGCTTGAATCAATGAAGAATGGATCAGTGTTATCACATGCCTGGCTGCAAGTGCATCTGCCTGTGAAAGTTAAATCCACCAGAAACCCAAGAGAGAACCTCAGGAATTAGGTCTGAGGTGCTTCTAAAATAGGAGTCTACTCACTAGTAAGCTGTGCGTCATGAAGACCATGACAAGTTCCATACTCTGATGTTGGAGTTGAGCACATTCTGAGCACTCCAGGGTGAGAGGAACCTGGCTTGGCTGAGGCCGTTGGACAGTTAGTTGACATGGGCTCTCTCTGGTGGTGTGTAGGTTTATCTCCATGGGCATGCAGGCTGATTGCTTCTAGCAGAAAATGTGGGGCTGAGGAGCATCTGTCTCCTCAAAGTTGCTACATATTGGGAAACAGCATTAGATGTGCGTTGTTAGTAAAATCCCTGTGTGGATCATAAATCAATGTGTAATTACTTTTATTTCACTCTTGTCTTTCAAATCTCTTTAATTACATTATTTCATTGGATCTTCACTATTATTATATCCATTTCCCAGAGATAATAAGCAATTTCAGACTTATTTACCTAGAGAGATTATAACTGCATTCACCATATCATGTGGATATGACCCTTCTTAGAAGTGATTTCTCTGTACTAGTAGAAAGTTAAGCATTTATTGAATACTTATTATACTTCAATGCACTGAAATAAGTATTTTAGATACATTGTCTTATTTAATCCTTACTATAACCCTATGTAAAAAGTATTATTAAACCTGTTTTGCAGATAAGAAAATTAAGAGTGAGATAATCAGATTCACCCATGGTGCCTCTTAAAGTGAAGGAGGCAGAATTTGAATATGAGTTGGTCTTACTGCTAAACACTACCTAGTATTTAATACTACACAATATTGCCCTCTAAAGGCAGTGCATTAGTGAAAAAGCTAGCCTTTGTCTTATTATGCTAAATACTACTACATCTAAATTACATCCAGGTTGAAGAGAACAATAATAATGCACACCATCTTTTGTTTTACCTTTAGGACCAATGATTCATGCTGAGGTGGGTGACTCCATCCTGATTATATTTAAAAACAAAGCCAGCAGGCCCTACTCCATCTCAGCCCAGGGTGTGGAAGACATGGACAGTGGAAAGGGATTCCAAGTGCCCAGTACAAAGCCAGGTAAGCTATACTAGAGGCCTACTTCATCCTGATGAGGATACCAGATAGAACCCTTTCTTTCTTTCTTAGTTTTTTTTTATTTTAAAGAGACAAAAACAAAAGAGAACAGAACAAAGCAAATCAGAATAGAGCAATGCAAGCAACACAGCACTTCACAACAAGACAACAGGACATCTACAGTAGCTACGTAATGTCTCTTTTGTTCGACATAGTTGAGCATACCTTCACACACAGTAATATCAAATATAACAAAATAGTATAAAAACATTCAAAAGAATGAAAGCATTACAGGACTTCCAAATCAGATAATAGGAAATGAACAAGGCTACTATAATATCTCATTTTCCTCAAAAAAAGTTCGCCATATCATCACACACAATAAAATCAAATAAAACATAACAGAATAAAACCAAAATGAAAGATCAAAAGCATGATAGGACTTCAAAACAAGATGATAGTAAGCCAGCAATGGCTGCCATAATGTCTCATTTTCTTCAAAATAGCTGTTCATACCATCACACATAATAAATCAAATAAAACAGAATAAAACCAATCAAATCAATGAATGAAAGCATTATTAGACTTCAAAACAATATAATATGAAACCAAGCATGATTACCATAATACATCCCATTGTGTTCAAAATAGCTGCCCATACAATCAAAGTAAAATTTAATGAAACATGACAGAACAAAGCCAAACCTAACAAAATTGTGAAAACAATACAAGTGCAAGACAAGACAATAAGAAATTAACAGTATTTACTACCTTTCCATCCCAGGTGTTTCCTCCCCTATCAGTCTTACAATAACTATTTTGCTTTTAAATTCCATTAACTCCTTCTGTTTCTTATGCCAGGGCTCATGTATGTCAGTTCAAACTGTTTCACCCATGAATATGATCTCCAATTACATACATACCTACAAGAGCCTCGAGATTATTCTACTTTATAGCTGGGTAGCTTTCCACTACATGAAAAATACCCTCTTTTTTATCTATTCTGCAGTTGACGGACAAATTACTTTTGCTTTTTTTCTGGTCTCCTGTCACATGAAACAATTGTTTTCTCTCTGATTTTCAGTCTATGAATTTCCTTTCCAGTTACATGTGTTTCTTTTATACAGTATATTGCTGGATCTTGTTTCTTAATCCAATCTCCCTGTGTTTCTTTTTATTGCTAAACTGAGACCCTCTACATTAATGGTTACAACCAGCATATATTGGTTTGTCTCTGCCCTGCTATCCTCCTGTTTTTGGCCTTCCACTTTTCCCCTTTATTCAGTTGCATGTCTTGTTTGGTGATCCTCCTCTGCTGCTTTTCCTGGAACCGTGGTCATTTTTATCTCTCTCTCGACTGTCCTTTAGCACTCTCGGTAGGGTTGGTTTGGTAGTCATGAATTCCTCCAATTCTTTATCATGGAAATATCTTATTTTTCCAACAATTTTGAAAGATAGTTTTGCAGGGTATATCAGTCTGGGATGGAATAACCCTTTTCTGATCTGAGATGTCTTGGAGAACTCATCTTAATGCCAGTGTGTTTGAAATATCACCTAATCACTGCTGGTATAATGACCAAGTATCCAAGAAAATTTTAGGACCCCATTAGAGACCCCGAAGGGCAGTAAGAAGTAATAATGGCTGTATTTGTTACTGTCATCATAGCTGAGACAAAATAACCAACACCCAAAGTTAAAGAGGAGAAGTTTATTCTGGCTCACAGTTTGTATAGGTTTCAGTCCATACTCGGCTGCCTTCAAGGCAAGATGGCATGGCAGAGGGGCATCACAGAGGAAAACAGTTCATGGGATGCGGAAGACAGCAAAAGCAACAACCAGCAAGCAACGACTTTCCATTATTCATAACCAGAACTATGCCAAACCTATCAGCAGACTAATTTAGTGATCACACAATTTTGATCCCTGTATCACACTCAATCCCATATCACTCATTCTAGATCCAGCCTCCTCTGAAAAGCCCCACCTATGACCACATGAGGTTTTGGGGGTAACATTTAGACACAAGCCATAACAGTGACTGATACCTACTGAATGTAACCTTATGCCAGAAGCTGGCATATTTAAAACAAAAAGAAAGTAATGAATTCACTTATCCTTACAACAACCCAGCAAGAAAGACATTACCTTATTTCATCAATTCTGACAGTATGGATTATAATTTTTATCATTATTTCATCTCTTAATTAAGAAAGAAAAACATGTTACCAATTAAAACATAGATTAAAAATTGTATAGATTAAAGGTTGTATCCTGACCTTAGATATGCTAAAATATGAAAACCTTGCACCCTATAATTGATGAAATTTGATATTTTTAAGTCTGTTTAACAAATGACTAAAACACAGAGGGGTTAAAAAGAGCTTAGCCAGGTCTTGTTAAATGGCATTTTTTTAAGAAATTGAGGTCTCACTAAGTTGATAAGTGGACACGCTGCCTGGAATTTGCAAGTCTTCTGCCCCAGCCCTCAGAGTATTGATATTACAGGTGTTTCATCTTTTAATCATATTGTTTTCATGTTGTAGAGTTGTTGTAGATATTTTTAATTTTAATGAGAAACCTACCTTATCGATTGCTTTTTCCATAGATGGTGACTTTGGTGTTATCTAAAAATCATCACCAATCTAAAGTCATCTTTTCCTGTTATGTTCTAGGACTTTTATATAGTTTTACTTTTTCATTTAGGTATATGATCTATTTTATCTCCCCAATATGGATGTACAACTATTTCACCACCATTTATTGAAAAGAGTATCTTTTCACCATTGATTTGCTTTTGCTCCTTTGTTAAAAATCAATTGATTATTTTTATGTACTTCTATTTCCAGGCCCTTTATTCTGTTTACTTGTCTATTGTTTCTTTAATACTACCATGTTTTCATTACTGTAGCTTTTAAATAAGTATTTTCCTCTAATTTGTTTTAATTTTGATTGACACATGATTGTATATGTATGGAGGTAGTAGAGTGTTTCAATATATGCACATACTATATAATGATCAAATCAGTAATTATAATATCCATTACCTTAAATGTATGATTTATTTATGAAGAAGACATGAAAAATCTTATTTTAAAATATAGAATGCATTTTTGTTAACTATAGTTACTGTACTGTGCGATAAAACACCAGAATTTATTCCTCCTACTTCACTGCGACACTGTAGTCATTAACCAGCTTCTCTCTATCCCTTCCCAGCAATAAGTCTTTAAGTTGAATAATGATAGCTCTCCCCACTTTGTTCATCTCCTTTTATACCGAGGTGAATATTCTGGATCTTTTGTGTTTCCATAAACATTGGAATCAATGTGTCAATATCCATAAAATAACTTACTGGGATTTTGTTTGGGATTGTCTTGATTTTATGACTCAAATGGAGAATAGATATCTTGACAATATTGAATCTTCCTATCCATGAACACAGGACATCTTTACACTTATACTTCTGAATGTCTTTCATCAATTTCATAGTTTTTTCTCATATATATGTTGTACTTTTTAAGATTTGTATCTACATATTTCAATTTTGCAAATACTACTATAAGTAGGACTGGGTTTTTAATTTCAAATACTGGATAGTTCATTATTGTTATACAGAAAAGTTATTGACTTTGTATGTTATCGTCTTAAATGCTTTTTAATGACAGGAAGAGTACTTTTAGATTTCCTACATAGATAAGCACATCATCTGCAAACAAAGACAGTTTGATTTTTGTCCTTCCCAATTATGTATATCTTTCATTTCTTTTTCTTTTATTTTTTATTTACTTTTTTATTTAAAAAGGGTAAAATTAAACACAACAAAACAGAACACAAGAGAACATAAGAAAGCAATGTAAAAGACATAAATTTCAATGCAAGACTATCAGAGATCTTCACTATCTATTGCATGGTCTCTTGTTTTTTTTCCAAATAGTTGTCCACATCTTCAGATACAGAAAATTCACATGAAACAACATAGTATAGAAATGATCTGAACAAGATGAGGAAGGAGTTTTAGGTCTTAAAGATCAGACAATAGGGAAGTCAATAATAGCTGTCATAGTGTCTCTCATTCTCTTCAAAATAGCTGTTGATACCTTCATGTATATTGAAATTAAACAAAACTAAATGTGCTAAAATCACTCAGAACAAAGAATAATAGTATTGCTGGATTTCACATCATGCTACGGAATCAGCACTGGATACTATAGTGTCTCTTTTTCTTAGAAGTAGTTGTTCATTTCATCATGCATTATAAGATCAGTTCTCATAAACTGTTTATAGGTTCTATACATTTATGAATCTCTACATGGATTTCTATTTCTGTATTAGAGGGAAAAACAAAACAAAGCAAGACAAAACAAAACAAATTCCTATGAAAACATAAAATGAAAAAGTCATATAAAACCACAGTACAAAGTGATCTACAATGGTTACTGTGTTGTCTCTTGTTATTTTCAATAGAATTTTCTATATCATCAGGCATATATATAATTGAATATAGCAGTACATAACAATATTAATAAAAATAAAACATTGTAGACAGTGTAAAACTTCAAAAGCAGGTAATAATCAAACCAGAGTGGGTATCCTATTGAATCTCGTCATCTTCAGTGTAGTTGCTTATACTCTCAGACTTGATACTATCAATCATAACAGATTTGAATAAAATCTGTCAATATAAAACAGCAATCTAACAAACCAGATTCAACTAAGATCAGTCATGATAAAACAAGGCTTCAGATTAAGTTAGTAGGAAATTAAAGATGATTACCGTACTATATCCTGCTATTTTAGGGATAGCTGTCTGTGCCCTCAAATCTAGTACAAGTAGACAAACGGGAACAAAATATAATCCATATAAACAGAGCAGTGTAATGTGGGTTTTAAGTCTTGATTCACTACTAACAATATCTTCTGCCTTCTTTTTTTAGACTATTCCTCCCATTTCACTCCCACAGGATGCACTGTGCATTTTGGGTTCCACAAACTCCCTCAGTTTTTAGACTGGGGAGAGGGCAACCTGCTATTTACCTAAGTGGTTCCGAACCTTCTCACTCTTGGACTTGATCTCAAGTTGTATTCCTTTACCTACAAAAGCTTCATGGTTTTCCTTTATTATAGCTAAGTAGTTTTCTAGTGCACATAAGTATCCTGTTTTTCCAACCTATCTGCAGGTGCTGGTCGAGTTGCCCCTATTTCTCTCTGGCTCCCTGTCACATAGAGCATTGTTTTTCTCATATTTGATTTTTGGTCCATAAACCCTTTTTCAGATTAATTGTATTTCCTATACAGAGCATCTCAGTGGACCTTACCTCCTGATCTACTCTGTCTATGTTACTCTTTTTCTTTTTTCTTTTCATTGAGGCCTTCTGCCACTGTTCCTGATATCCTGGTATTTTTTTCTCTCTCTCTAGAATGTCCTTTAGTATTCTCCGTAGGGTTGGATTGGTGGTTGTGAATTCCCCCAGTTCCTCGTTGTCATGGAAGCATCTTGTTTCTCCATTAATTTCTAGAGACAGTTTTTCAGGGTACTTCAATTTGGGCTGGAGGTTATTTTCTTTCAGGGCTTGGAATACTTTGCTCCAAGCTCTGCTTGATTTGAAGGTCTGTGTCAAGAAGTCTACTGTGATTTTGATGGGTTTTCCTTTATAGGTGATCTGTTTCTTTTCTCTGATGGCTTTTAGTATTCTGTCCTTATATTGAATTTCTGGGATCTTGATTATTATATGTCTGGGTGTAGTTCTGTTTTGGTTATAAGTGGCTTATATTGAATTTCTGGGATCTTGATTATTATATGTCTGGGTGTAGTTCTGTTTTGGTTGTAAGTGGCTGTAGTTCTGTATGCCTCTTACATCTCTCCTATGCTTGGGAAGTTTTCCTTAATCATTTCTTTGAATAGCCTTTGTATTTACTTTGTTTTTACCCCTGCTTATTTATTCTTAAGTTATAGATCCTCTTGTCATCTTCTAACCTTCATATTGTTACTGCCTGTTTCCTTGTTATTTTTAAGAGATCTCTCCTTTCATGATCACACATTGCAAACCTGTCTTCAAGCTTTGATAGTCTATCCTTTGTTTCTTTCAAGCAGTTTTGCCAGCTTTCAATGGAGTTTTTAATTTCCTGGTTTTCTAGGTTTTCTTTATATTCTTCATCAAACATTTGTCTCCTTTTTTGGTGTTCCTCCATTCTTCCATCTGTGCTTTCTTGAGAGGTGCTTAGCATTTCTTTTATTAATCTACTTATATCTTGCTTTACTTGATTAAATATTTCACTTTTGAGCTCATCTATGATGTAACAAAGATATCTCTTTATGTCCACTGATGCTGTGTCTAATATTGCATGTTTGCTGTCTTCAGTCTCTTTTGTATTTACCTCTCCTGGATCAATATTCTCAGGGTTGGGGGCTGGAGACTTTTTCTTATTTTTTTCTTTTGTCATGTTTTTGGTTTCTTCCATACAGGTGTATAGTGGAGATCTCAGCCCCTTTCCTTGTTGGTTATGGCTCTTCTGAAGCACGCTGGCTAGGGATTTCTGCCCTCTCCAGTTTGCTGTTGGTCACTGAGGTGCAAGCAGGGGCAAGCGTATGCCGGTCCTTCCCCTCCAGGCCAGCCAACCTGTGGGGGCCTTCACTGCATTAGTGTGTTTCACATGTACAAAATTGGTTTGGGATGATTTATTGGGTCCCAGCCAGGGACATGACCCAGGCCGAACAGATCCCACCAATCTTCTCTGGGAAGGGAGCAACTGTGTGAAGTCACTGCAGTTCCTTGTTCCTGCCTGTCCTGCCCAATTCCAATATGTTGTCCCGTTGGTTGCCCCTTTCCTGTGAGAGGGTCTTATTCCCTGCACTCACAGTGGATTAATGCGGGTCTCCATGCTGGCTCTGTTCTCCATTGAGCTCGCTGACCTCCAACTTCAGCATGACTGCACATTCGGTGGATTGCAGCAGTGTATATTTGGGAGGCTCTGGTGAGTTGAGGTAGCAGGAGTTTGGGCGGTTCCAGTGACAGTGTTTTCGCTGCTAATCTTAGCTGCTCCAATGGTAGCCCCAGGACTGCATGTTTGACCAGCTCTTTTCTCGTTAGTTTCTTCTTGGGTTGAGAGGATCCATCTCCCTCTGTCTGGACCTCTCCAGGATGTTTTATTCCAGCATCTGAGTTGTCTCTCTCAGGGAGCCTCTGTATGCTGCTGCTTACCAATCCACCATCTTTGTGAGAGTCCCAAGTGTATATTCTTGAAGGTAGTTCTTGGAGGTTTCAGTCCATACTCAGTTGGCTCCAAGGCAGGGTGGCATGGTGGGGCCACAGTTCATGGCAGCTGCAAACAGCAAGATGGAAACCAGCAAGACAGAGACTCATTTCCTTTTCTTGTGTACCCCCTTAAGTGTGACTTGCAGCAAGATGAGAAGCATTCTTGAGAGAAAATCCTCATCTTGTTCCTTTTCCAATCTTAGTGGACAAGCTTCCAATTTCTCATTATTAAACCATTAGATAAAGTTGCTCATTTTTAATGGTTGAAGAGCAACTACAGAAGAAGAAAGACAGGTGCCCATCAAGCATCTGTGGAAGTTCCGGTAGGGTTATGAGCAAGCTGGGGTGATATACTAATGGGTTGATATGCTCCACTGGTAAGGACAGGTAGACACAGCAACCCTCTTCTTCCTGGCCTTCCAAGAGTTTTAGAGGTGAGGAGAATGGACTAGAATGTGATGCTAAAGCATATTTCCTACTAGAACTCAGAAGGATAGATTGGAATATTTGTCATTTGATTCTGAAATTGTAGAAATCATGAAATAAATTGAATGAGAACATTTCTACTTGGGTGTGGTGGCGCACACCTATAATCCCAGCACTTGTGAGGCTGAGGCTGAAAGATTTCCATGACTTCGAGGTCAGCCTGCAAAATGAATTTAAGGCCAGCCTGAACTACATAAGGGGACCTTGTCTCAAAAAAATTCAAACACAAACAAAATAAAAAGAACATTTCTGGTGAATGAGATTATCTTGAACAGTAAATCATTCATCAATATACAAAAAAACCTGCTTGTATTTCTTCAAGTATGTCATTTGCAACAGAGGTAGCTCTAAAAATTCCTTCTCATTCCTTTCAGGAGAAATAAGGACTTACAGATGGAATGTCCCTAAAAGATCAGGCCCAGGGCCCTCTGATCCCAATTGTATTCCATGGCTTTACTATTCAACAGTAAACTTTGTGAAGGTAAGCTGGGGAGAGCAAACAAGATGCTTTATGTAATATGGCAGCAAATTGACTGTCAAGCATTATCACTCTTGTGGGTATTTGTGAGAGAGATATAATTTAGAACAGTTTCTCACACTATGTACTTCTGGCAAAATCTAAACATGTTCATTCATTAACACATCTGTGATTGTGACAGACAAAATGGTTGTGACTCAAAAAGTAAAAATAAAGAAAAAATATTGACCATCTGGTGCTGTATCCAAAAATATTTTCTAACCATTAATATTAGGTATGGAAAATAAAAACAAAACCCCAATATTTTAATTACCAAATTTAGAACTTGCCTGGAAGCCAGGCATGGTGGTTCACACCTGTAATCCCAGCACTTGGGAGGCTAAGGCAAAAGGATCACTGTGAGTTTTGAAGCCAATTTGAGCTACATAAGCAAGTTCAAGGCCAGCCAGCACTACATGGTGAGAACTTGTCTCAAAAAAAGAAAAAAAAGGAACTTATAAGGTAATTTGAAACAAAAGAGAATATATAAATAGAAAACAGAAAAGACCTCAGATTGTACTTTATGATTTTAGATGTATGAAATCAGGCCAGGGATTTAGCTCAGCAGTTAAACACCTGTCTGGCAAGCACAAGGTCATGAGTTTGATCCTCGGTACTAAAAAAAAAAAATAGATGTATGAAATATATTCATTTCAAAATCATTACCAAGGCACAGGAAATGAAAGCATATCCCAAACACAGTAATTGAAACTATGAAACTATTTGAATGATTCATAGGCTGATAAATAAAAGATCTAAAACTGTCTTTGAGTCTGGCTTGCATATGTAAACAACTTCTGTCTTTCTATGTCATAAACCTAAGCCCAAACTAAATCATAAATGATATAAAATGTTAATCATTGCCCATTGTTTTAAAACCTGAGGGATTATTTTAACCTTCCTTTTGGTTATTAGATAGCTTGAATCATTGTCCTTGACTTGCTCTGGATACTAGTAGAATTCAGAATATAGACATTTAAGACACCTTGAAATGTTAAAAATTAGAATAATGGGAAACATGTTTACTCATTTATACATCTGAACAAATATTTACTGAGTCCTCGTGATATACAAATGATGTTCTCAAATTCTGGAACAGGTGCAAATATTATTAACTTAATGAGATATAATTTGTGTGGGAAAATTCTACACACATGTCCACACTTACAACTACCATGACTCTGAATATGATGAATCTATAGGAGTGGTGGGCTGTCCAAGGTACTTGAATTTAAGAATTTAAGAATTTAAGAAGAGAGTGTAGGAAAATAGGACAGCAGAAGGTGTATTAGAGAAGACTGTGTGTCCCATTTGGCTCTCCCGTAGGGTTCAAAAGGAAAGTAGTGAGGGAAATTTTAGCCCGAAGGTTTGAAAGAATGAACAGTGGGTGTTAAAAGCTTGCAAAGATTTTATTATACATTCTGTAGACCATGGAAAAGTCACTGAAAGTTTCTAGGTGTGGGAGTCATGAGAGTAATCTGATGATATTTGATAGAATGAGCTGAAAATGGGGTGATTCAAAGAGAGGAAAACTAGATCCCAAACTAGAATCACAGCAGATGGAATGGAATATTGTTATTTACTCATTCATCTGATTTGGTTAATTTTTCTTCCAGGATACATATAGTGGTTTGATGGGTCCTCTGATCACGTGCCGAGAAGGAGTATTGAATGAAAAGGGAAGAAGAAGTGATGTTGATTATGAATTTGCTCTATTGTTTTTGGTATTCAATGAGAATGAATCCTGGTATCTGGATGACAATATTAAGAAGTATCTCAATAAAGATCCACGAAGTTTTAAGCCCACTGATGATTTTGAAGAGAGCAACAAAATGCATGGTATAGCAGGGATTTAATGAGAGGATCACTGTTGCAATAGATTTATAGAAATTCCTAACACCTGAGAAGGTCCTCAACCTCCTCCTCTGAGACTTTTCCCCTTCCCAGGGTGGGACATGGGCTGAGTGAAATTCTTTGAAACTTTTTATGAGAATATACCAGCATAATCACTGGTTGACTGGCAGCAAAGTCATAAGGCTATACCTATCTCTGAATGCTGAGATCTTTAAACTAAAAAGAATAACTTAAAAAAATCATCAATTTTTGGTATACTTTATGTTAATCAGCATAACTCCTGTTTGATCAAATTTAAGAATTTGGTTTAAAATCTCTGGGACATGAGACACCATCACTGAATTTTTGTTTCCATGTGTCTGTTATTTAATTTTGTTTTATTAAAGGTAGTTTTTTTGTTCAATTGATTTGATGAGAGTTCAAATTGACACACCTGGATTAACTTGCCAAGATCTACTTAGGTAGAGGGGCTCTGCCCAAAGTTACAAAGCTAGTTGTTAGCACAAATTAGATTATGGTGGCCTGATTCCCAATTCATCTACTTTTCCCACTATTGCTATTTTTAATTAATGCAACTTATTTGATAGTAATATGATACACAGAATAAAAGTCTAGTAGGAAGTGCGGAAGTGAGAGGACCATTGTACAAACCTAGCATTTAAAAAATTTTGCATTAATACATGTTTGCAGCATATAATTATTGCAGTCATCATAAGGAGTTGGTACATGTGCATAACACGTCTTTGTTCTTCTTATTTCTCTTCCTTCCACCCCTCTTAGCCCCAGCTCTTGGTTCTATAAACCCAGCTTGCCCATGTGAAAGTCCTCCTTTTAGAGATTCAGCCAGGTTTAAACTAGTTCTCAGAAAGTGAAGTGTTAAAGAAATAACTTCTAATTCATTCAATATTCATTTATATAAATTTGTTTCTTTTGAGTGTGGCTTAATCCACACATCTGTGCAATGGTATAAATTTGGCTTCTTACCACTGAGCCTGTAACCTATTTCACAAGGAAGATATGCTGAAAAACAAACATTGCCACTGAAGATAAATCTTTGGAAAACAAACTATTTCTCTTTTACGGCTGTCTTTGTATAACAACTTCTTGGTTATCTGAATTTTAGACCTAGAATGACAGGGACATGGATAAGTGTGAGTGAGATTGTACATAAGAATATCGATTTCCTAAAGATTCAGAACCATTTCTAAAACCAAATTAAATTATGTTTTCTCACTGACTAAAGGCCATTTTCTTTTCACCTTTTTTAGCCATTAATGGAAAGATTTTTGGAAATCTCCAGGGCCTCATAATGTATGAAGATACAATGACAAACTGGTATTTGTTAGGAATAGGAAGTGAAGTGGACATACATACCATCCATTATCATGCTGAGAGCTTCCTTTTCAAAGTAAGTAGAAGGAAAACCTTTTGGGGAAAGGTTTTTTGAACTAACAGATTCAGCGTTTTTCCACTGGGAAATAAGAGGCTTAACTGGCAATAATATTTGAGCAGTGGAGGTTCACATCAGAGAATGGGACAGAATAATGTGATTATATCTTTCTCCTGTAAGTCTTCATATGTAGGTGCATAGCATCATCTCTGAGCCTCAGATGAGCCTTTTCTCATTTTATATGGCCATAATTCTCACCACTGTAGCTTAATGTGGTATGAAAGCATGTATAGTGTTTGTCTCTTTTTCTGATCCTTCTTTGTTTCTTTTTCTCTCCCCTCATTGTTTCTTTATGATTAGTTAACATAGCAGCCCTGCCCAATAAAAGATATACTTTGACCTCTGACTTGGGTTCCCCAGTTTTATCTTGACTTTTGCCTTAGAGAGCTGGGCTGGACCATGTGTGATCTTTTACTTTCTGGTATCTGGCTGTATTATATGGGTGTGGGCTGCACAGCAGGATCAGGGAGAAAACTGAAGAACAGATTGCCAGGTCCTACGCCAGACCTGCTGAATCAGAATCTCTAGTTGTAAAGTCCAAGTATAGTTATGTTCATAAGTCATATTTAAATTACCAGATATAGTCATGCAAAAATGATCTAATCCTACAGATGATATGTTTTGTTCAAAGAACTAATAGAATTATTAGTACAATCATCTTAGTAATTTTAAGTGTATGTATATGATTTTATATCATATTTCATTTCTCTTCCTTTTCTCTTCTTTCCTGTTTTGGTTATTTTTTCCTCTTTGAGCAGTTTCTTACCCTGTCACAATATTTATTGAAGATTTTGTATCTTATTTACTCTTCCAGTTTCTTACACTAGGGAGACAATACAGTATTTACACATGTGAGGTTGATTTATTTCACTTGGACAACTATTTTGAAGAAAACCACAGACATTATGGTAGCCACTGTTGATTTCCTGCTATCTTTTTTTTTTTTTTTATCTTTTTGAGACAGGGTCTCACAGTGAAGTTCAGGCTGGCCTTGAGCTCACTTTGTAGCCCAGGCTGGTCTCGAACTGGCAACGATCCTCTTGCCTCAGCCTCTGGAGTGCTGGGATTACAGGCGAGAGCCAACACGCCTGGCTACCTGCCATCTTTTTCTGAAATCCTGTGTTATTTGGATTGTTTTACTCTGTTCTACTTTTTTCTGTTTTGTTTTGTTTTGCTTTGTTTTGTTTTACTCTCTTTAAAATAAAAAAAAAAAAAGTCCAGGTAGTCTATCATCTTAAATTCTTAGTGCCAGCTAAATAATCTAATTGGTAGAAGTAACCAAAATTGGTTCTATTCAATTGTATACGAAATAAACAGTAATTTAATAAAATATCTAATATCCTCTCCCTTCTATATATTTCAAAAGTCTTCCAAAATTAGGCTACAGTAATTAGCATTTCATATACTAAATGGCAATTTCACTTTTAAGAATTCAGCCAACAATAGCTATCCCTTCTTTTTTCCAGGTTCCTATTATATGAAGTATCATTTTTCATCCTTTGATTTATAGTCTATGAATTTCTTTTTGAGTTCATCATGTTCCTTCTATGAATACATTGTTGGGTCTTGCTTCTTGATCCATTCTGCCAATCTGTTTCTTTTGATTGGTGAATTGAGATACTTACCTTGAGAATTATTATTGATACATATTGACTTATGCTTGTTATACTATTTTCCTATTGTTGATTCCTTTTTGTTCTCTTTTGTTTAATTGTTTGCCTTGCCCATGGATTCATTTTGTTAGAATTCATGGAATTGTTGACCTCACTGTCTTTTTCTAAAATACCCTTCAGAACTTTTGTATTGCTGGTTTGTGGTCATGAATTTCTTCAGGTATTCTTTATCATGGAAGTATTTTATTTCTCCATCAATTTGGCAAGAAATTTTTGCAGGACACATCAATCTGGGTTGGACGTTGTTTTCTTTCAGGCTTTCAATACTTCATTCTAAGTTTTCTTTGACTTAGGGTTTCTTTGACTTAGAAGACTGAGAAGTCTTCTATGATTCTGATGGGTTTTCCTTTATAGAAGATTTGTTTCTTTTCTTGAACAGCTTTTAATATTTTGGTTGAATTTCTAGGATCTTGACAATTATATGCCTTGATATAGTTTTTTTTTCTCATCATAGCTAATTTGGGTTCTATATCCCTCACTATATCCCTCTGTATATGAAATTCTTTCTGCATTCTTGGGAATTTTTCTGCTATTATTTCTTTGAACAAGTATCTTTGTCCTTTGTGCTTTCTTTTGATTTTTCATTGATTCTGACTTTGCATTATCTGGAAACTGTTGGATTGATTTTTTTTGATCCCTTGCTATTTTTAATAAGTCTTTCATTTGGTGGTTGGTAACCTCAAACCTTTCTTAGATGTAATATTGTGTCTCATATTGGTTGTTTCTGTTGTATTTTTTTTTTTGTAGTGGGGATCAAACTTATGACCTCACACTTGCCTGGCAGGTGCTTATGCCACTGAGCTAAACCCCAGGACCCTGTTGTATATACTTTCAATAGAATTTTTAATCTCCTGGATTTCTGTTTAAATCTATTTTATGTGATCCAGTTCTTTCCTATGTTGGGCATGTATGGTTTCTATCACTTTCCTAAGCTATCTTTTTAAGTTTCTACTCTAGACTCACTAGCCATATCCTTCAGTATGGCTGTGACCTCTTTAGTGTATTATGTTATTATTTCTGATTTGTTTTTTCATAAAACCTCATTTATCTGCTTTGCTACTTCTGATGATACCATTTCAGAAAGTCCAGCTGGGAGGCTTTTGATTTCTTCCACCTCAGTGCCCCCTGAATTTGCTTTGGGTGAGCTGGAGATCTAGGGTTGAATCCTATTTTCTTTCTTTCTTTCTTTCTTTCTTTTTTTTTTTTTGTCTTTTTCATTTTTATCAGTACCAGGGATCAAACTCACGACTGCCTGCTTGCAAGGCAGGCGCTTATGCCGCTGAGCTAAATCCCCAGCCCCCGAATCCTATTTTCTCATTTTCTATTTTTTTGTTTTTCTGCATTGATGTTCATAAATTGCTTTGTCACTAGTACTGAGACCTCTTTAGGAGCAGATTACTTTTCAGAGATGTCTTTGACACATAGCTGGTATTTTGGCTTCTTTTCTGATATACTGTCTTTTGATTTTTTAGGGATTAAAGTTTGGTAGCTGTTTAGCCACACACATTTCTTTACTACTGGACTTTGGTATTGTTTGTGACCTCCAGACAATCTTGGTAAATGCAACACAAAGAAGAACAACTGATCACAACAATTATATTAGTAATAATAAAGTAATATGATCAGTAATAATAATGATGTCAAGAACAGTCCAGAAAATGACAAGCTATGAGAACTATTAATTTGCCACCTTTAACCCATAGTTACATAAAAATCTAAAACTAACCAGAAAATTATATACACTAATAATCCACTTAATACAGTGATTTTTTTTACCCTTATGGAAGAGAATTTTAAAAGGGTAGCATGAAAAAATAGAGAAATAAAGAAAGAGAAAGAGATTAGAAGCAAGACACAAGGGCAAGAGAAGATTTTTCAAGGTTTGGAAAACTTGAAGACAGAGAAAAAAGATAGAGAAAATAAGAACAAAGCAAAATAAAAAACTAAAAAGTGTATTCACTTTCAAAAACAAAAACAAGTAATTGAGAGGAAAAAAGCCAAATGAACAAAACAACAAATAAAAAAGCAAAACAAAACAAAACAACAAAGAAAAACAAGAAAAAAACCCACAAGAAATTGTTTCTTCTGGTATTTTCTGATTCTATCTTCTGATGTCTACAGTTTTGTGGTAGTGTCCAAGTCAGAGCCCAGATCTGTCCTGGGTAATGCTAGCAAATCTTCAGTAGAATTAAATTGAGGTACTGGATAATCTCAGCAATTCCTTGTTAGGGTTGGAGCAGGTCACTAATTCTGGTGCTTTCAGCTCCACAATAGTTGAGGCTGATTCTGACCCCTGGTTGAGGGGCTGCATCTGATTCTTCAGCCAGCAACAGTCTGAGTGTCCATCGCTAACCCACTTGAGGCTCCCTGACCTGTACATCTCCAGTGCCTATCCCCCAGCCAGTGTGTCAGATTCCAATGCCGAGAACCGTGACACAAAGCCATCCCACAGATGCTCTGAATCCAGGGTTCAGTTGGCTCCTCCCTAAAAAGGTACCCAACCAAGCCCCTTCTCCAAGGAATATGGCTGTCGCCTGGACTGGAATAACTCACTGGCCCTTGCCGCGCACAGCATCCTCTGCTCCACTCCACTGGCCCGACTCTCCCTGGAGGCCTCTGGACTCGCCTGTCCCCACTGTGCCTCTGGGAATTCCACATTCTTCTTTCATGCCATGAAGTAGAAGTAGAGAGTGTAGTCTGCCACCTTTTCTGTGCTGCAGTCGTCTCCTCACTTTCGCAGCAGGTCCCAATTTTTTCTTCAGATTTTTCCTGAGTCCGGGAGATCCACTTCCTCCCTTCCTCTCTGCCCCAAGTTGTTATTTTTCAGTGCCTGAACTCTGATTCCTTGAGAGGATGATGTGCTGCAGCTTACCATTCTGCCATTTTCCTAGAAGTCAGCAAAAGCTTTTTAGTCTGATGTAATTCCATTTCTCCTTTTTTAACCTTGTTTCCTTTGCTGTGGAATTTTTTTAACCTTGTTAAAAAATTCTTGACCACTTTAAAGTATTGAAATATGGCATATGTTTTCTTCCATGGATCTGATAGATTTTGTTATTATATGTAAGTTTTTAACCTATTTTGATCTAGTGAAAGATAGATGTCTACTTTTACTATTCTGTGTAAATATACCAAATTTCCCCCATATTGTTGTTGAGAAGACTATCCTTTTATCAGTATGGCTGCTGAGCAAAGTTGAAAATCAGTAGATAAATGTGTGGGTTTCCTTTGTTATTTTCTTTTGGTCAGTGTGACTTTTTGTCAACCTCATGCTGTTTTGATTCCATTTTATAGGATATTTTGAAGTCAGATTTTATATTTAGGGCTCTGTCTCATTTTAGGTTAATTTTCATGAATTGAAGTATGGATTGAAGTTCCTCTTTTTTTCCCATATACATGTCAAAATGTTTCTTTACTACTCATTAAAAGCACTATTATTTCTCCCAGAGTTTCCTTTGCCCTCCTGTGAAAATCATATTGACTATATATACATGCACTCTATTTTGTAACATTGATCTACATACTTGTGCCATGTTGAGTGCCAGCCTTAATTATTATAATGTTATATTTCTTGCAGTTGGGTGGTGATTGTTTTAGAAGGTAAGATTTTTGCCTTTTTATATAAATTTTAGAAACAGCTTATTGATTTCAATTTAAAATTCCCAGGAAAAAAACTCTCAGATTTTGAATGGATTTTTTGAATTGAGTTTTGAATGGATTTCCTTTGAATTTGTACAGTGATTTGGGAACCATTGACATCTCAACAATATTGAGATTTCTAACCTATGAATATAGTCAATTTCTCTAGTTAGGGTTCTTAGATTTATTTCATCAATGTTTTATAGTTTTCAACATGTAGATTTTGCATATATACATAAATAGACTAGACTTCCACGTAAATGTGTCCTAGGTCTTGGTGATCATGTGAGTGGTATTGTGTTAATTTCAATTTCAAATTGTTTTTGTCAGCATATAGAAATATAATTGCTTTTGCATACTGATCTTGTATCCTATAACTCTGCCAAACTCACTTCAATTCTGATAGCCCTTCTTTCGGCTTTAGGAAGGATTTTCTATATAAACAATCTTGTTTTTAAATCGAGATTATTTTATTTATTTTTCATCTGCTTGCAATTTTTGTCTTATTGCAATGGAGAGGAACTCTAGTATAATTTTGAATGTAAGTAGGGAAAGTGAGTATTCCTGCCATGGTCTTAAATCTTAGGGGGGAAAGTCACTCACTATTAAATATAAAGCTAGTTGTAGTTTTTTAAATAGATCTTATTTTAGATACTGGGTTAAAGAATTTCCCTTATGTTAGTTTCCTGAGAGTTTTTTAAATCATGAATAGATGTTAAATTATATTAAATAGTTATGTGTCTATTGAGATGATTGTATAATGTTGTCTTCTTTATTGCTACTTTTCTTTAATCCATTGGTGAACCTCACTGATTTATTTTTAAACATTGAACTACCTTTTCATTTGCGCATAAATCTTATTTGGTCATGATGCATTATCCTTTTTATGTATTGCTGGATCTGATTTGCTGTTATTTTGTTTAGGATTTTTGCATCTGTGTTTATTAGGAATACTGGTTTTCTTTTTTTGTAATGTATTGTTTAATTTTCATATCAAGTTAATGTCATCTTTATAAAATGATTTATAAGCATGTGTTTAGAATTTATATTACATCTTCTTTAATGATTTTGTAGAATTTGCCAATGAAACCACCTGTGCCTGTTGGAAGATCTTAGTACAATATTAGTTCCTTCATTAGATAGTGTGCTATTCAGGTTACTTATCCCTTCTTTAGTGATCTATGGCAATCTGTGTTTTTTAAAGAATTTTGCTCATACCATATAAGTTGTAGACTTTATGGGCCCAGAACTATTTGTACAATATTTCATTTTTATCATTTTAACATCTATAAGATTTTAGTGATGTTCTATCTTTCCTTTTTAGTATTTGTAATGTTGTTCTGTTTTGTCTAGTTTTATGCTAAAATTCAGTAACGTGAAGCAACAAACATTGATTATCTTATAGTTTCTCTGGGTCAGAAATCTGAGAATGGCTTATTTTAGTGGATCTGATTAACAGAGGCTAGTCTGATTCAGCATCTTTTCATTGGCTTTGCTGGAGCTGGAGGATCCATTTTCAAGCTTACTCAGGAAGCTATTGACTGAAAGTTTCACCTTCAGTCACACATCATACGGGTATGTCCTGAGAGCTGGCCCTGCTCAGAGTGACTAGTGTAAAAGAATAAAGGAAGAGAGGGAGTAGGAAAGAAGCCATGGTTCTTGACAACCTTATTTGGCAAGTGGAATGCTGTTTCTTCATCATCTGCTATTGGCCACGCAGACCAACCCAGCTATAAAATAGGAAGAGGCCACAAGATTATGAATACTAGGAACTGTGAATCATTGGAAACTATTAATGGAAACTGGCTATAACAAGGTTTATCAAGTGTATTGATTTGTTCAAAGAACCAGCTTTAGGTATCTTTGATTTATCTCTATTATGCTTCTATTCTTGATTTTATTGGTTTCTGTTCTTTATTTCCTTTCTTCTGCTTACTGTATTTCTTTGCTCTTTCTTTTCTTCTTGTGGTTCTAATCAAGAAAAAGTACACAATGTGTTTTCTGACTTCTGCAGATAGATAAATCTTACCGAGAAGATGTGTACGATCTCTTTCCTGGGACGTTCCAAACCATTGAACTATTTGCGGATCATCCAGGGACATGGCTACTGCACTGTCATGTGTCAGACCATATCCATGCTGGCATGGAGACAACCTACACAGTCCTCCGGAACATAGGTATTGTTGTCTGTCAATGATGCCAGATGATGGCACCAAGCTTCCTGTAAACCTGGATATAGGAGGCATGAAAAATTCCCGATACAGCCCCCATGGAGCTCAGAGTCAAGTAAGAGAGACAGATATGTAACTATGTAACCATAATAGAGTATGATATGCAGCTTAACAGATTGCAGAATACAGAATTCAGTGGCAGGAATAGGAGGGCATCATAAAGGGTTTGGGAATGTGAGCCAAGTTTTAATGGGCCATGGTTTTCACGATGTATCTTTGTGGGTGAGAAGAATCTGGAAAGGTGGAGGGGTGGGAATGCATGTGTACTCCTATGAAGTAGTTCAGTGAAAGTCCAAGAGAGATGGCCAATTCTGGTGGCATAAATTATTCACTGGTAAAATGACATGGCTTCTTTTGTCTAAAGAATCTCTTCTTGTTTATAAAACAATCAACTTATCTTCCTTGTCTAGACAACAGGATTCCTTACTCTACCAAGTCTCCTTCTGGAGGGGAGTCCCACCCAGCCACAGGGCCCTCCAAAGGTAATGCTACCCTTTTCTACACCCTGCTTGTGAATGTCTCAGCATTTCACTCCTCAGGGAGAGGCAGATATCTGACATCTCAATTTTTTTTTTCTTCACAGAACAACCTGGCAAGGAGCAGCTCTACTTTTTTGGCAAGAATCTGGGTCCAAGAGGAGCCAAGGCAGCCTTGGTCATCCTTTTCATTATGGGCCTACTCCTCCTGATCGCCACTGTGATTCTGTCCCTCAGACTCCACTCTGCAAGGACACAGATGGCTTACCGGGAAGTCCAATCCTGTGCACTTCCCACGGAGGCTCTGTGAACCATCTGGTTTTTCTTAGCAGGAAGGAGTTCTGTAGCTAGCCAGACAGCAGAAAAATTGGACCAAAGCATCGTTCACCAAAGAAGGCTGACACTGTATCCTGGATCAGTCTTCTGATTCTCTGGACCACTATCCAAAGCAATTTGCTTTTATTTATTTAATTTTAAATGGGCTGTAAATAATACTCAGGTATAAAATACAGAAGAAAGAGAACCCATAGAACTGACAAATGCCAACGCTTAGTCTGTTCTCTGGACAAATTTGCTGTAGTAGAATATCTGGAAGATACTTTCATATTCCATGTTTCATAATTTTTAGTTCCTTACCTCACTGTTAAAGTTTCTAAACGGACAATTCTAGAAAGGGTTCCAGCATCCCAGACATCTAACTGGAACAACACTGAGTTTCCAACACACTCACATGACATGCTTCCTATACTGTTCCAAGGAAAACACATTCTGAGTTTGTGAAAATGTCTAAATCAATATCTACTGACAGAATTAGACCAAATTAATTTTTAGAGGCCATCACCAGCCCTCCTGGATTTTCCTCCTTTGATACAAATTGCCTACTATTGCTTGTTTATGAGGCAAAGATATATTTTTTTAAAGTTGCTGCTGCTTTTATGTGAACCTATAGAAATACTTGAATGTTTACAATTCACTTCATGTTATATGTTTTTATAATATTTTTCTGGCAATGTCTGTATTTTCAAAAATCACCTATAGAATTGATATTTTTATTTCAGGTGGTGGGAGGGCTGGAATCTGTGGAGGAGGCTAGGTTTTTTTCATGGTGAGTCAAACTCCCTGAGAGATTAGTAAGAGCTCTCAGTAAAGGAGAAAACTTCAAGTCTGGGCTTGAATTTTGATTCTGATCTTTCATTCAATTTGAGAGAATCCTCCAAGGTCTCCATCTTCTATTAAATAATAATTGTCTGAACATGTGAGGACACCAAGAGGAATTTACCAATGCAGCTGACTGTTTAGGAGGAGAAGAGATCTCTCAAAATCCACAATTCCATGTCTCTTAAACGTACAGCCCTTTTGGGAGGGAGAAAAAAGGAATAGAAAAGGACAGAAGAAAGAGAGTCTCAGTGGCAGTTTGTTAAGCCATTAAATCAGCTATAAAGATAAGTGTTACAGTTTCCAAGGCTCATATGCAGAAATAAAACATTGAATAACTAGACTTTGCCACAGAGAGGGAAAACACTCTTAGTGGGCATGTCTAGACAGTAGGTGTAAGACTGATAAAAGCAACATTGTTAATCACAGGACTCAGAAATTGCCCTTAGCTCAGGGCAAACTGCTGTGGGACGCTGATGATAGATGAGTGGTATTAGAACATCTGCCTTAGCAGTGGATCATTTGAATGTCCAGGTGAACCAGTAGGACCTACTAAATACTCTGGTGGAGGGACATTTCAGGTATTTTCTTCTTCTTGGTGAGGGGAAATGGGTAATTTAACAGAAGCTATTGTCTTTCATAAAATGGGATATAGATGGTAACAATTCTTTTTGTAGTTTGCTTAAAGTTATATCAAATAGGATAAAAGATTTTTGAATTTCAGCCTAACCACTGCCAATGTGATTTTGTAATACATACTTGACAGTTTTCATACTTTTGTAGGCTGTATAATTACATGATAATAATAATTATGTTCCTTATTTATTATTCACCTTTCATAAGACAACAAACTATTTAATTCTGTTTCTTCCTTTTCACTTAGCTTTTTTTTAATGAAAACAAAACCGTAGTTTGCACCATTTCTCTCTTTTAAATAAAGTTTCATATGTCCTAAGATGACTATTTGCATTTTTTCATTCAAATTATCTTTGATAAAACTAAGGGGGAAATAGCTAAAAGAAAATTTTCTTTTGAATGTTTAGCCATTCTGACTCTCTACTATATATATATCAGCAGTGAGAAAATAAAATAATATATCTCCAACAATAATATGGTCCCTCAAGTGTTACCTCCTCAAAGGAACCTTTCCTGCTCTCAGGTTCACTCTTCTGAGACAATCAATCCTGCTTTCATTTGCACATACCTTTTCCCCTTCCGATAATAGAAGAAATGTCCATGGTCTTAGCAGGGCCAGTGTCTCCACTTGGACTCATCTCCTGCTTTCTTGAAGACTTCATTCCCTCAATTTTCATTTTATGAAATCATCAGCACTGTGCACCATTACAAAATAAAAGCAAAGGACCATCTTCCTCTACTCCTTACCCCCAGTGTTTCTCTCTCTTTGATAGCAGAATGAAAAGAACTTGTCACACCTGCTGCTGGACTTCCTTAGCACATTCCCACAGATGCAGTGTGCCCAGCCCCCACATCCAACCTGCTATTGTCCAGTTTACCAACCTTGACACTGTTACCAGTGGTTTCTTCTCTATTTATCTTATTCAACCTCTGAGCAAAACTCACAACACCCATCTAGTCCGTAGTTCTTCATAGTAACTCTCTGACATCTTTCTTCAATTTCTATTCTTTTTAACCTCTTTCATTGCCTCCATTTCCTCTGTCTGACCTAAATATTAGCAGGCCTCAGAATCTGATACTGGAATCTTTTTTCTCTGGAGTCTTTTCTCTCTAGAATCTTTTCTCTCTCTTAGAAGAGAGAATTATGTCCCCAAAGATTCCATATCCTAATCCTGGAATCATAAGTGTTACCTTTTGTTGAGAAAGAGACTTTGCAGTGTGATTAGTTAAAGATCTGGAGGTGGGAGGTTTGTCCTGGACAGTTGGCCCTAAATGTAACCACCATCTTCTTATAAAAAGGACATGGCCAGGTGTGGTAGAGCACACATACAAGCTCAGCATTCAGGAGGCTGAGGCAGAAGGATTGCTGCAAGTTTGAGGCCAACCTGGGCTACATAGTGAGTTAAGGCCATCCTAAACTGCATAATAAAACCCTGTCTCAAAAAGACAAAAAAAAAACCCCACACACAGAACAACAAAAAACAAAACAAAACAAAACAACAACAAATATGGAAGTGGCCTGTATGTCCATGGTCAGATGAATAGATAAAGAAAATGTGGTATTTATACACACTACAGTACTATGCTGCTCTAAGAAGGATAAATTTGAGTTATTTGTGGGGAAAGGGATGTACCTTAAATCCATAAAGTTAAATGAAATAAATATTAGACACACAATCTTAAATATCACATGGTGTTTCTTATATGACGGAAGGGTTTCTGTTATAAAAAGGAAGAAGACCTAGAGATGGAGAGGGGACTATACAAAGAATTAAGATACATCATGTACATTTATTGATTAACCACAATGAGAGTGTTAATTACGTGCTCCACACATGTACCAATAAAAATAAAATGTTAAAAAGGAGAGGCAGGATGACTTGTGAAGCAAGACGCAATGCTGCTGGCTTTGGAGACAGAGGGAGGAGTCATAACTCAAAGAATACAAGGGGTACACCTCAAGAAACTGGAAAGTTCAGGGACAGGATTTCCTTCTGAAGCCTCCAGAGGGAGGCTGGCCCTGTGGGTACTCTACATCTGGTATCAAAATTCAGACTTCCAGAACGGTAAGAACGAACTTATCACAGCATGCTTCCTAATGTGTTCCACCCATGTTCACCCAGCTCATGTTCCTGGGTATGAAGCATATCTTTATGCTAATAGGTCCAAGATGTAGTTCTTGAACCTGGACCTTTACCTTGCTCAAGCAGGATCACCGCAGCAGTGCCTAGCCAGCCAGTCTCTCCAAGCACTGTCCACACAGCTGCTGCAGTGTTCTTCCAAAGTGATCTCATCACTTTCTTGGTTACATTTTACTCTCTTTCCATGGCACTTTTAACAATATCTGAACTCTACTTTGGTATATAAGACTCAGCCTGATCTTGCCCATGCACAGCTTTCTAACTTCTTGGATTCTCATCTGCATCAGCTTTTATCAGTTTGTTCCTATGTCCTGGTGATTCTTTCTTGCCTCATGTTCTTTTCTGTGCCTAAAATGCTCTCTCTCTTCCCTCTCTCCATCCTCTGCCTCCCCTTTCCTAGCTTTTCTAGTTCAGGTGTGAGCTCCCCGGGCTGCTTTTCCTAAAGGGCGTCCCTTCTGTTATTTCCTCTCTCCAGTTTTAATCTGTAGTGTGTATCACAGGACATAATCATTTCATGTGTCTTTTAGCTTGAGTAGTGTCTGTCTATTTCACAGGAAAGTAGACACAACATAGTATAAATGCATAGTAATTGCTTAGCAGATATTTCTTGAATGAATGAATTAACAGAATAGGCTCATGAGTTTGACTACTTCAACTCGGACCATTTGAGTTGCAAAAGATCTCATATACAAATGTCACAGGGCTCAAAAAGGTAAAATATATTCATGGAGAGTAGTTGTGAGAACCACAGTCCTTGATCTTCTTCTAAAAATGGTGCCAGGGCAAGAGGCAGAGGCAGAGCACACTTTGAAGAAGGTATATTTTAATTCCTAAGTATGCTTTATAATAGATGGTGAAATGGTGAGCAGCAGAGAAAAAGCTCCTCCAAGATTTGCTATCCAGACACTGGAATATAACAATATGAAGAAGAGAAGAAGGAGAAAGGAGGGTTCCTGGGACTCAGGAAGGATCTGAAACAAGAACCAAAGTCTATGTGGAGAGCAAAGATAGATACTTCAACGAAAAAGGTGGCAATTTATTCCTGATCCTTAACTCATTTTGTGGTAGAGGAAGCTTCAAATTGCAGATGCGTGGTGGCTACTGGCAACGTTTGAGGCTGCCATGGAGCAGCATGCCCATGGAACAGAAAAGTGGATGCAGGGCACTGCAGTGGCTGCTCAGCACTCAGATTCAGACACCCCCCCAGGAGACAGCAATTGGCCACTAGCCATCTTAGAGGGGGGACAACTGAACTCAGACATCAGAATAGCTAATAGGCCAGTCCCAGTTCGCAGCTCCAAAGAGACAGAGTAAGACAGAACGAGATCAAGATGGCAATTGATCAAGAAGCCAAGTTCAAACCAGCAGGAGGCACATGGAGTGTTACTGGCTGAACAAACTGGAGACTGAAGCATTCTGTCCTAGGTCTGTAGCTCACTGCGAAGTCCCATGCAAGTCCCTGTCAGAAGGAAGATGGGTCTCCTGTGGAACGCTGAAGAGTCTGCACCTGAAGGCTAGAAAACCCATGCTGGAACCCAAGAGTCTGCAGTTGATGCTTGGAGACAACATCCAAGCTCTCTCAAAGAACAGAAGCAGACCTGTCCTTCCTCAGTACCTCTTTATACCGTTCAGGTGGATGAGCCATTTTAGGGTGGGCCTTCTACTCCCTGGAGTGTAGAATTGATTTTGTTAAGCTTCTCAGCTTCTCAAGTTGACACAAACCTTCCATAGGATTCCTGAGGCATCTAGAACCTGGATCAAAGCATGAAGAAACAGACAGATGGAAATGAACCTATGTTCATCATACTAGAGGCATGAATGACAAAGAAAGTCTGGGACGGGCCCAGATTAGGTGACCGTGGTAACTAAAAGCAGTCTGAGTGCTGGGCTGTGTCCTGACTAGAAAAAAAGTTGCCATAAAGTTTGTTCAGGAAATCTGAATACAAGTTGAGCATTTCTAATCCAAATAGTTTCAGAGTTCAGAGCATTTTGGATTTTAGATTTTTAGATGAGTGATGCATTACTGCTAAACTCTGTGCAAATATTCTGAAATACTTTTGATCCCAAAAAACTTATACAGGTAACAGATTATGTCAGGTATATGAGGTGAATGATGACAGAATGCCATACTGCGTGAAGCCTTCTGCTAGAAGTGGTTCACCGTGAGTGCAGGGGAAGGAATGAGAATGCCTACAGGCTGCTGCCCACGAAGGCCTCTGCTGTGTGGGCCTGAGATCTCTGCCTCAAAACTAAGGAGGTCCAGTCTCTACATCGTGAGGGCATGGGGCAGCTAGTGGGGGACACTCGCAAGGTGGCCTGGGAAAGTGCACGTGTCCCTCCAGCTCTTCCAGGGTGTTTGGCTGGCTCTTCAATCTTGTTTCCACTCGCTTCCCATCCAATGGAGCATGTGACGGTTCCAGGGCAGAAAAGGAACTGAGGTGGGTGGGCAGAAGAGCCCAGACTGCTCACTTTTCTGACAAGTTGTGCATTGAGATCTACAGATTCAAGAAACCAAAGCCCTGCTGAGCAGAGTTTTTTCTGTGGCTTTCTCTGGAGGCCTAGGAATGTGGCTGAAGGAGAAAAGAAGATGGCGGAAGTTCCAGAGGGCAAGGTGTTCTAACTGCAGGTGACAGATGCCCTAACACCTGTGCCTAACATCCCCATCTAGCTCCAGGGCTGCAGCTTCATGTTTTGGAGTCAAAGGTTCAAAGTTTCTTGGGTAGGAGAGTTGGATCTCTTCCCATTCCTACCATAGCCATTTTGCGGGCTCCAGGAGACATCTTTAGGGAATAAATGGATTTCTCCTTTCTTCTGTCCTTTCTGTTACCTCTCCCAGACCCATCCAATTCCTCTCCCTCAGTGCACCAAATAGCTGGAAGAGGCAGGAGTTCCTGGCTGTGGCAGTTTCTTGTTGACTTGAGGAAAGATGCTGACAGGACATTTCTTCCTGATACCAAAGTCACTAGTCCTTTTTCAGTTTGCTTTTTTTCTTAGTGACTATATATATATATATATATATATATATATATATATTCCCCCCCCCCCAAAAAAAAAACTTGGGACTATGTGGTCTGGCAGAGCAGAATGCAGAATATTTGACACTGGGGCTATCCTGGTGGCCTGGACTTTGGAGGTACAGCCATCTCTGTGTCCATCTGTTGCACATTATATTCAGCTCTGTTCTTCAATTCTTGGTGCCATTGTCCTCCCCACTCCCGGCTGCACTGAAGGAAAGGTTGAATGGGCACGGAGCACGCATACCTCATCTCCTCCCAGATAAAAGGGTCCAAGTGAAAGCCTATTGCAGTCTTGTATAAGGAGGTGGTGGCAGAATCCTCAGTGCCAAGGTACTTGAGAAAAGCCTCAAGTTTTTGCTTCTCTTTCCTTGTTCTCTTTAGCACCATCTCCAGCTTGGTGACCTAGCATTTTTTAATTCTCCTCAGCCAAAATCCTGCACTGGGCTTGATTTGTTTTTATTTTTAAAGCATCGCCTGCCAGTGATGGACCTAAGGCCCACCCAGAGTCTCTTTTTACTCACAGCTCCTGTGCACATTCCTCAGAGTGTGGGCAAGGCGGGCCTAGGTGTGGCCTCTGCCCTGGCTGTGGTGGCAGATGCTACCCTCTGCAGTCCCCTACACCACTTCTCTCAAGTCCTGCAGGTGGAGAGGAGACCCTGCACGTGGAGCCTACAGCCTCTGAGGCTGTGAGAAGGAAGCAGGCAGCCTCTGGCTTCTCTCTCTTGGTGCCCCCCACCCCAAAACAGCCTAGGTGGCAGCCCTCCCTGCTCAGTTTTATGTTGTGTTTGCCTCTATTTGCCCTCCCCCTTTATCTGTTGCTACACTTGTGTTGGATTCTGAAGAAGATTATACACCAGGATTCATCACAGGGATGCAGGGATGGCTCAATATAATGCAAATTAACTAACTGTAATACATCATATTAACAGAATCAAGAACAAACCATATGATCACATCAATGGATGCAGAAAAAGCATTTGACAAAGTCCAATACCCATTTATTATAAAAACCTTACAAATAATTAGAATAATGATCTTTATCTCAATCTGATAAAAGCCATCTATGACAAACCAACAGCCAACTTCATACTAAATGTTCAAAAACTGAAAGTTTTCACTCCAAAATCAGGAACTAGACAAGGATGTCCATGGTCACCATTCCTCTTCAATATAGAGCTATCCCACGTAATCTTCAAAACAGCTTGTTAAGGTAGGTAGCATTATCTCTATTGGATAAATAAATACATTGAGCCTAGAGGTTTCCATGACATATTCTTGCTTAAACAGCAAATAACCAGCATACCTTTCTTCCCCTTTTATCCTATCTAAAAATAGGCTGGGTAGCACTTACACCCTTAATCCTACTGCCTTCAAGCCTAGCATTGCACCATGAATCAATTCCAGAGCCACACACTCTAGACCCAGCCACCTCTGAAAAACCCCACCTATGGCCACATGAGGCTTAAGGAGGGGCATCCAAACACAAGCCATAACAATGTCTAACTTCATTATATTATCTACATGCCAAATGATACACTCCCCAGTTCCAGGACAATCAATAAATGCCATGACAGTGCCCAAAGAGAACCATAAGGAGCACGAAGGAGTAGTACCTGAATTTCCATAAATGACATAACTCTTTCTGCCATTTATTACCCTATCTCTGTTCCTTACTGTTTTATTCTACATCAATAACCCCCTTCCTCCCAAAGAGTTATTCTATTCCCTTCATTGCTCAATCAGTGCTGAATCTTGTTATTGGTTGCATGATTCAGAGACAGGGAGAGGGGGAGGGAGACAGGGAGGAGGAGGGAGAGGGAGAGAGAGAGAGACAGGGCCAGGGCCTGAGGTTGAGATCAGAATTTGATTGGAGCTTGTGGAACATCCAAGAGAGTCTTTTTTTTTTTTTTTTTTTTTTTTGAATGAGACCTGTACTGCAGCACAGGAGACCAGTATATATAGGTCGGAGCCTTCGTAAACTAAAACCGAAAAAGCAGATGGGGAGTACTGCTTATATGGCTGCTGCAAACCTGTATCAGTGAAAGTGTCTTAGTTACTTTCCTCTTTGCTGGGACAAAATATCTGCCACCCACAAGATAAAGGAGGAGAGGTTTATTTTGGCTCACAGTTTATAGGGGTTTCAGGCCATTGTCAGCAGGTTACAAGGCAGGTAGGCATTGCAGAAGAGCACGGCAGAGGAGAAACAGCTCATGGCATGGTGGAGAGAAGCAGAGAGGGATCAAAGTATGAGGAAGGACATATATATCTTCTTCAGGCCACTCCCAGTGAGCCACCTCTCCCCACCAGGCTTCACATCCCAACATCACACCAAGCTATAAACCCATCAGTGGACTAATCTAGGAATAAGTATCACACCCCCATGATCCACTCACCTCCCCAAAGCCCACCTATGAGCACGAGGCCTTGAGGTGACATCTACACACCAGCCATAAGGGAGGCACAGAACTGAAACTAGGGAATCTTCTTGGAAGGCCTACTGTGAATGGTGGTTATGCAAATAAGGGGCCTGGATGCTGCCTTTCCTGATCTTAGCTACTCCAAGCTACCCTCTCCATTTTTCAAAAATGCATCAGCAGCAACTGAAGTGGCTGGAGTAGGGAAAGGGCACCATGCTCGCTGACTGGCTGCATTCACGTTGGAGTAGAAAATGGCTGTTCCATAGCCAGAGAGGACACTATTAGGTAGGGAGCTTTTAAAGCTTCCCTTGGTAGCTGTGTGTATGGTGGGGAGAGATAGTCCGGTGAGTCCTGCATGTGTTTAGGAAACAGGATAGGAAGCTGAGTTGGTGTTGGCAGTGAAGAGGTAGAAGTGTCAGATTTACTATATTCAGGAAGGAGAAGTAAGAGAAATTGGACATGAGTTGTGAGGGAAGAGATTAGGATGTGACAAACTGGTTGGGGAAGTGAAAATACCCAGAAAGACAGTTCTCAAAGTCTTATGTCTGGAACCAATCAGAGAACGCTATCTTTTCACTCTTCTCACAAGAACTCCAGCAGGTTTTTGATACCATGGCCTAGGCCAGCTTGAGAAGTGGAAGATCCAAACGATGGCCATACTTAACTCTGTGACCACTGAGCAATGTCTTTCACAGGGCTCCTCTTTTCCCCTGCAGAGCACTAGTGGTAAACCTATGACACTTATTATTTTTCTTTCAAGACAAAAGATTTTAATGTATGTTTGGTTTTTTTCCCTCTAAACTAACAAGCTCAGTATTAAGGGCCAATTGAAGTATTGGCACTTTCCAATACGTAAGTAGGTCTGAGTTGCCATTTGGGCATTCAACTCTAAACGGTCCACTATCACTTGCGATAGAGTATACTTTTTTTCCTTACTTTTAATTGGTCCACACTGGCTCTGCAGAGCATGTTTCTTTTATTACCTTTCATAAATGTAAAACATCACTACCTTTTGTGTTTGTTTTTGACCAATTCTTTGTTCTGGGTAAGAAGGACCTAGAAAGAATCTCTAGAAGTCAATTGTTTGACAGAGCAGAGGGAACAAGTGTCAAACATGGTGCTCCAAGGGGCATGAGTGGAAGGTGTCTCTATTTAGTAGGATGGAAGAGATTGGATTTCAGGTTCAAGGAGCCGAGGAGGATTCAAGCTCTGAGACTCATCGGAGGGTTGCATAGCCCCGTTGGATGTGTAAGGATAAGACAGGGACCTACAAAGAGCAAAGGAGGCGTTTAAAGGTTGTCCCTGCTCCAAATGAAATGTTGGTAGTCAGAATATTTCCTCCCACAGTTTTCATTATCCACTTCCTGTTGAAGGGAACAAAAAACGGTTCTTTGAAGACTCCAATTTCCTCTCTCTCTCTCTCTCTCTCTCTCTTGTCTGTCTTTCTCACCAGCAACATACTTCTGCTTGATTCCCAGCCAAAGTTTCCGCTGAGAAAGCAGACAAAGAAAGACCAGGTTTGGCACAGTCACACCAGGCCAGCACTGCTCCTCGCCCACCCTCCATGTAGCTCTCCCGGAAGGGTCCAGTGACCCCTCTGCCACACAATCTCCAGCTGCACTGCTCCATTGGCTCCGTTGTTCTTTGATGCTTTTCCAGTTCCCTTTAATCAGGTTTTGCTAAGTAGAAATATTGGGAGTGGATCAAAAAGGTGTATGTGTGGGCTGTCCTACGCTCTGGTCAAGGGGTCTCTGTGCCAGAAGGTGGGGAAAACAGCGGGAAGGGCACCAAGGAATTTTCAAAAGCCCCGCGGGAGCGTCTCTCCGCCAGCGCCCACCTGACGGGGGCAGGACCGAGCCGCGCCCACAGCGCCGCTGGGTTTCCGGAACTCCGTGCTGCAGGAGCTCGGTTTCCCCGGGTGGTCCCGGAAGAGCGCCGTGCGGAGGGCTCGGGGGCGCGGAGGGCTCGGGGGCGCGGAGGGGCGGGGCGGAGCGGGCAGCGCTTTGTTCCCGCTCGGCTCTCGCCTCCCGGCGCGCGGTGAGCGCCGGCCCTGAGTCGCGAGCCCTCGGGGCCCTCGGCGGGCTGCGGGCGCATCCAGGGCGCCCGGGTCTCCTCCCAGCGCATCCAGGGCGCCCGGGTCTCCACGCAGAGCTGGAGCTCTTGCGCCCGGCGCCACCCAGGCCCCGCCTCGCCCGGCGCGGAACCGGGGCAGCCAGCTGGGAGCCGCCGGGAGAAGAGGCAGGCGGAATGCGGGGCCCGCTCGGGATTCCGCAAAGGGAAAGGGAAAGCGAAAGCCGCGCGTCGGGCCGGTGACGCGGTGAAGGCGCCGCGCACTCCTCCAGAAGCAGGCGGTACCCGGACCTGCCTTCGCGGGCCTCCGGCCCAGCCCGGCACGCGGCAGCCATGGCCATCGCCCACCTGGCCACGGAGTACGTGTTCTCAGACTTCTTGCTGAAGGAGCCCACCGAGGCCAAGTTCAAGGGGCTGCGGCTGGAGCTGGCCGTGGACAAGATGGTCACGTGTATCGCTGTGGGACTGCCGCTGCTGCTCATCTCGCTCGCCTTCGCGCAGGAAATCTCCATAGGTGAGCCCGGGGACCGCGCGGAGGGGCGGCCTTGGCGGGGCGCCGTTACCTAGGGCCTTCCTGACCTGATCTGGAGGTGATTTTGTGGCACACTGGCCTGGGCACGGCCCAGGAAGTGCGCAAAGCTCTCCTGAGCATAAAGGTAGGGAAGAAAAGTGGCTTCAGATGTGAGCCTCATGTGCATTATTTGTACTTCAGTTCTTTTGTTCCTATTGCCACACTGATTTAACTGGTTTAGAGCTCTTGTCCCATACTTCTGTTACCCTTGCCTCCAGATTTACCCAAGAACACCTGTCAAGCCCCCTCCTGATATTTGCCCATTCATCTAAAATTTTGTGGCAGAGAACTTCTTGAGTGACTGAACGGAGGATCAGAAACCAAGTGCTCCATGAAAAGTGTGTTGTCTTTGATACTTGCTTCAGTTATGCAGGACTGTGAATAATAGGTAATAACCACTTGACAGGTGTTAGAGCCTCCACTTACATGTCTGGTGAATGTGAGATGAATATCCTTTGTTTAAATTCTCATTTCATCTTAACAGTTCTGTAAGGTTCGATCCTTTCTTTGGGAAGGATCCCATGTCTCAGTGGCTGGTCTTCCTCATCATCTGTTCTGCCTTACAGTAGAGGGGTGGGATGTGTTTGCATCAACAGGAAGGTAATGGAGGAAGGCTCTAACTGTTCTGGAGATGGGGCCAGGTGAGGCCTTAGACCAGCGGTGGTGCACCTTTTAGAGACCAAGTGTCCAAACTGCAACCCGAACCCCACTTTGTAAACATGAAGTGCCAACACTGGCCCTCCGTTTACTGTTATCCATTGCTTGGATGCTGGTAGAATGCTGGGATAACTTGGCTTACATGCCAACATAGGGCTGTATGTGCCCACTGTGGCATGAGTGTCATAGAGTCATCACTACTGGGCTAGACCTCTGGGAAAGCTTATGTCAGTGCATGGGTGGGAGCTGGATAAGAAGAGATGAGACCATTTCCCAGATTTTGAGATGGCAGACAATATTATATATTCTGGGAAAAGGAGAGGCAGAGACTGCTCGGCCAAGGCAGGAAGATTAGTCAGGATTTCTGGGATCTGAGAGCAAATGTGGACCACAGAATAGAACAGCACAGACTGGCAATCCCAAGTGTAGGGAGAGGACAGACTGAACGGAAACAGCACTTAAATTCTAGAGAGATGGTGACATGCAGGGTCTGAGTGTAAAGGGGAGGGGAAAGAGTGGAGCTAATAAGACATCATTGAGGTCTTGTACATGAATGAATGGTGCCAAGAAGGGAAGAAAAATTATTTCTGAGAGATCAAGAAGCACTAGTGGGTGTGTAGATTTTAACAGGGCGCAAAGAACTGATTGAATTTGTTGAGAATGGAGAATGGAGGTGTTGTTGATGCAAATACTGAAGTTGAGGGAGAGTTAAGTAGTAAAGGGTGATGAGTTTGACTTTATGATCAGCAGCACAAAGTTGTTCAGTGTGACGGGAGGTTGCCAAATAGTTGTAGGAAGCAAGTTTTCATTTTTTCCAATACTTGGGGAGGCATAGTCATTGGGGCTTCCTTTGGTCTTCTTGATAATAGGGAACTGAGGCTTCCAGCAGAAAGGGAAACCACCAAATTGCATTGGTCCTGGAGATAAACCTCTCCTCTCAGAAAATACTCTTTGGGTACTGGCTGTGTGCTGAACCAAGTGACAGGTGCCACAGACCCAGAAATGAGTAAAGCATAGTCCCCTGTCTTGGACACCTGGTAGAGGCAGAGAGTCAGGAGGGGGAATCTGGTCAGCTCCACTCTGGTGTACCTCCTCCGGGTATTCCTGGGTTAACTCTACCATGAGGGCCTTAGATATTACCACGTTCGTGACTGGGAGACATTTTGTGGGGTCAGGAGTGGGTTTACCCAGCAAGAGTTTGAGCTTATGGTGTGTCTGTAGCGTGGTAGTGCTTTGAGATTTGGAGACGTGGTCCTGTGTCCACCCTGTGGGAGTTTACTCATAGATGGGCACTAGAATGGACGTGCTAGCAGGTAACATCATTCACCAGTGTTTGGTTCATTGGCAAGACAGGTGTTGAACTCTGAGCACGGACAAGGTGAAGATTGGCAGGTTCCTGGGTGAAGAACTGCCAGAGATATCTCCGTGTCTTCTAAAGTACTTTAGGAATTCCAAAGACAAGACAGACTTGTGGGATGCAGTGGACAGAGCCAGGAGGCCTATCAGAGTGTACCTTTACATCAAACCAGAGGAAAGGAGAGAGGAGGTATATGAGATCCTGTCATGCAGTATTAAAATTTGCGTAATTTAGTTATATGCCCTCGGACAAAGTCAAACAAACTAAAAAGAGAAATAGAGTCATAATAACAGAGTAGAGTAATTTAAATGGATGGGGTACTTTGCCCACCTGATTGGTCGTTGAATGGAGAAGTGTGAAACAGCCCACAGACTCCAGGTGAGGCTCTTTCCTCCCTCTCCTGATAACTGCATTCTATCCTTGTAGTGTCTGGTATACTCTCATGGTTGTATTTTATATCTTGCATTATATCCTGACCAGGTGGCTGCCTCATCTACAAATAATCTTTTATTGAATCCTGGGAGCTAGATCATAGCCATAGGAGCCTCTCTGCAGACATTTGCTGAAGGAAAGGTGATAGCTTTGGGGATCATCAGATAGTTACTGAGCCAGGTGTGAATGGTGCTGGTCTTTGGCTGTTGGATAAACTCCAGACACGGAATCTGTCCCTAGGGGACATGATCCAATGGAGAAGTTAGGCACACAACCCTGCCAATACAAGATTCACAGGATCTGGGAGATGTCAGAGGTATTGTATGTACTAAAATCTGCCGAGTGGGGAGGCAGAAAAGGGATTTTTTTCAGATAGCAAAGGATCAGGGAAAGGTCAGGGTAGAGAAGAATTGGAGTTGTACTCCGAGGCAGGATTCCAAGGATATGAAGCTACAATAGCAGAAGTGGAGAAGTGTGAGGCAGTGCGGGCCTATCTGAACTTGATGGGGGCGGTTGCACAGAAAGGTGAGAGTCAAAGTCAGTATGCAGGTGCTCAGAGGGAAGTGGGTACAGGAACTCACCTTGCTTTTCAATCTGTGTTGGTGCATATGTCTAACATTAGAAATGAAATCACCTTTAGAATCATTAGACATCTCTTTTCCACTGAAATTTATAAGCTAGTATATTTATAAGATAGTCAATTGTGACTAAAATCACCACTTCACTGGGGCTGTCTCTGGCCTCTTTGCCTTTGCAGCAGCTCACACAAGCCCAGCACTGTTAGTGGGCATTGATGTGGGGCCAGGAGGCTGATGCGGATCAAGGTAGGGGCTGACAGCAGAGGGAACTCTGCATTACTGACCTTGCCCTGCCCATGGATTGTAGGTCATCAAAGAAGCCATGTGGTGTAGAGAGGCAGAATGGCCTTGGTGCTGCACTCAGAGTAGAAGGTGGGTCTGGTGACATTTAGTCCTGGCCCCTATGAAGATGTGAATTGTGGGTAGAACACTCCCGATGGACTGATTAGGTGATCTCTTAACTTCTGTGTTGTGGCTGGTATTTTGAAGCCTTCCTCTGAGTTACTAACAGCTAGGTTGCATATAAGGACTCAAGTGTGCACCTGATCTGGTTGGGCCTGATATGTCTACTTAGCTCTCCCAAAATTCTGTGGGTCCAGCTCCCCATAGGTGTGTACGTGGATGGATCCTATTGCATATTCCTGAGATACTGCAGAAGACAGTTTAAATTGTGACCCAGCTGGAAGGCTCTGTGATGGGGGTCAGAAGGAAGAATCAGCATTGATTGGTCTCACCAGCCTCCCTTTTCCCCTTCCCTGACTTTGTATCGATCTCCCATTCAGCATGTGCTCTGCAAGAACTTAGGAGATGCTAAAGCACGTGGAGACCTCTCCTGAGTTGTCCCCAGGAAGGTGGCTGCCCGAGGGAAAGGACGAGGAGAACCAGTCACTTGAGTCCAGTCCAGTGTCCTCTGACCAGTGTGATCCTATGTGTCAGGACAGTTGTGCTCAGATGTCTGCCTCTAATAAAGGATGTATAGGGTGCGTATCATCCTGGGAGGGAAGCAAATTTCCCATTGTACTTATAAGCTTAGTTATATGCTAAATACCTCGAATTCCATTTTGGGGGGGATATTTTTGTTTGAAAGATTAGTGTTCCAAACACTGAAGGGCTGCCCTGGGGAAGAAAAAGGTATGATTTTGTTTTGCTCAGGTACCACCTGTCCGACACCTTTCTGAACTGATTTTAAATAAATCTTTGGAAGTATCCTCAGGCCGCTTTTCAGCAAGTATCACCTAGCTAAGCGGATTGATTCTTTTTAGAGTTTTCTATAAGGGGCTAGTACTTCAGGTTTCCTGTTACAGCATGTCCTCAGTTTACTCAGAACCCAAGAGCCAAGAGAAGACACATTCTGTGCAGAGAAGGCTGCTGTCACACAGGTCTTTTAGCATGTAAATATCTTCCTTGTTTTTGGTGTACACAATTTAAGTAGTATCTAGATACATTCTTATGGTAAAGGATTTATAAACCTCCTGTACCACTTGCTAGAAGTAACCACAATAGACACTTTGCACAATATTACTGTACCATTTTTGTGTTCATAGAACTTACTATATAACTTATGTAATAATTATAAAGAAAATATTTGTTTTAAAGAAATAGAGTCATGCCATAGTAGATTGCTTTTCTTCGCTTGACACTCTTTCTAGATTTCTACACTTATATCTGTTTGTACATAAATCTTTACATAAGCTTCCCTCCTGCCAGCATTGAAAGGGAAGGAGATGAGAATAGGATCAGTTTTCAGAAAGATGAAATCGTTTTCCACGATGGATTTATTTTCTTGAGTTTCCAAGTAAGTGGAGATAAACAGCACCCAGGGCATGTCAGTTTAGGTTCCCCATTCATTTAGAATGCTGCTGTCAGTGGTTTAGAAGGATAATTTTGATGGACTGTCATTTTAAAGAAAGAAATGACCC